ACATCTTATTTGAAGGAGGGATACTTTTCTTTTCTATTTTTAATTGTAATTGCTTTTGCTTTGTTTAAATAACCAAATTATGACCATGGGGCTTTTCTTTTAATAATTTTCCTTTCTTCCATGGAAACTTAAAGGGAGGCACGGAGTTGCCGAATTGGCCCCAGCAGAGTAAGCTTCCAGAGCTACTCAGATGTATTCATGCTGGAAATTTTTCAAGAGCGGTACCTTAGCATCCCTAGTAAACATGACTTCATCTCTCAGGAGGGTTAAATTGCAACTTTTAAACTTCGCTGTGGGTTTAAAAGGCAATAATTTCATCCCCAGTGACTTAGAGCAAAGGCACAGGATGAATACAAGAAGAAACGGAGAGCAAATTTACATCAGGAAGAGTAAAAAGGAGGTGAGATAATTTGAAGCCTCTTCTTTAACATTAGATGCAAGGACATCGATATAATATTTCATAATCTCTCTCATTTCAGATCAAGAGGTACTGATAAATGCAAATAAGGTTGTGTGCTTAGAAGCGATCGACTCTGAATGTGGAGGAGAAGAATCAACAGTGAAAAGATGACACCTATGTGCAAGCTACAACTGATGTAATAGCCATTGGGTCCTTTAACCTTGTGTTTCTCAACTTTGGCAACTCTTAGATACTTGGACTTCAAATCCCAGAATTCCCCAGCCAGTCCACTCACCTGAAAGTTGCCAAGGCTGAGAAAAACTGATTTAACCAATGTGAACACTCCTATATATTCAACTTCACCTCCTATTCAGATAAAATATCTTGAGATTTACATCGGTCGAACATAATGCAACTTCTCTCTTGGATGCTCATGTAGGAAATCTGCAGGAGCTTCATCCAATCATAAGATGCCTTCAGGATAAAGTAGGACAACATCCATGTTGGCTGGCTGATAGGATGTCTTCCTAAAATGACTAAGCAATACATTTAAAGCTAGCATGAAATAAGATTTGGAAGAAGAAGAAGAAGAAAAAAGAAACCGGTTAGATTAGCAGCTTCCAAGTTACTCCGCCAAGAAGGACTTCCTCACCTGGGTTGCTTGAGGGCCAAATACCATGTCAAAAATGAATGTTTTCTCCCTTGACCGATTGGCACGCAAAATATCCTCTGGATCTTCCATTGGGTCCATCAAGACCACGATCTATTTCAGAGACGTAGATTGGGTTGTTGATAGCCATGATGCCATGGCAAATTTGCTATGCTATATTTACTATACATTTGCTATGGCAAATCTAGACAGCATTCTAAAAAGCAGAGACATCATCCTGCCAACAAAAGTGCGTCTAGTCAAGGCGATGGTTTTCCCAGTTGCAATGCATGACTGGGGAAGTTGGACCATAAGGAAGGCTGAGCACCAAAGAATGGAGGCCTTTGAACTCTGGTGCTGGAGAAGACTCCTGTGAGTCCCTCGGACTGCAAGGCCATCCAACCGGTCAGTCCTAGAGGAGATCAACCCTGACTGCTCTTTAGAAGGCCAGATCCTGAAGAGGAAACTCAAATACTTTGGCCACCTAATGAGAAGAAAGGACTCCCTGGAGAAGAGCCTGATGCTGGGAACGATTGAGGGCAAAAGAAGAAGGGGACGGTGGAGAACGAGGTGGCTGGATGGAGTCACTGAAGCAGTCGGCGTGAGCTTAAATGGACTCCAGAGGATGGTAGAGGACAGGAAGGCCTGGAGGAACGTTGTCCATGGGGTCACGATGGGTAGGTCACGACTTCGCAACTAACAACAATAACAGCCATGATGCCAGCACCAAACTCCTTAAAACCATAGAACTGGAAAGGGTTCCAGGAGATCATCCAAACGCAACCATTGGCAATTACGCTTTCCTGGATGGAGAAACTACAGCGGTGTTTTTCAACCTTTAAAATGTGTGGACGTCAATTCCCAGAATTCCCCAGCCAGCTGGGAAAGGAGAACCTGGGTTTATATCTTCTCCCTTGAAACACACCCAATGGAGGCACTGAAAGAGTTACTGTACGTCAAGGCACTTTCCCAACAAAACCTTGGCAGCTTTGCAGATAAAAGCATACAATTAAGGGAAGGGCTTGCAGTATAGATTATATATCATTTGCCCTTTTAAAGAAAACCAGAACGAAATTACTGCTGAACGTACGGGGGCATAAATGCCAAATTTGGACAATAAATCCACTGAAAATTTCAAGATGGTGTTTATCCAATTAACAGACTTGCAATATCAAATATTATCTCAAATATATCTAGGTAAAGATAAAGATTCCCCTCGCACATACGTGCTAGTCGTTCCTGACTCTAGGGGGCAGTGCTCATCTCCGTTTCAAAGCCGAAGAGCCAGCGCTGTCCGAAGACGTCTCCGTGGTCATGTGGCCGGCATGACTCAACGCCAAAGGCGCATGGAATGCGGTTACCTTCCCACCAAAGGTGGTCCCAATTTTTCTACTTGCATTTTTTACCTGCTTTTGAACTGCTAGGTTGGCAGAAGCTGGGACAAGTCACGGGAGCTCACTCCGCTACGCGGCACTAGGGATTCGAACTGCTGAACTGCCAACCTTTCAATCGACAATCTCAGTGTCTTAGCCACTGAGCCACCGGGTCCCTCCGATTATACTCACAGCTCATAGCAAAATCCAATTTTCCGAGAATGCTAGTGGATGACTACATATTTTGTAAATTTCTTTGGCTGTCTGGTGGCTGTTAGCTTTTGCATGCAGCAACGAACTGATTAGGGCTGTTTAGAGCTGCAACTCCTTTGATGTCTTCGTCTCCCTCACAATTAGAATTTAAATTAAGCATGTTTGGCCAAGGGGTTGAGATTGAACCTTGTACAAAGGCAGCAAAATCTCTGCAGTTGTAGGGAAAATATAAGGCCAGGCTCTATACTGCTTCTTATCCTTATACACCCCACCTCCCTGTTTGAGAATGTGTTGGCATGAGGATAACCGTCTGCTATTCCAGCTTGTAAATATTTTCCTGGATAGGACAGTTTACTTCCAAATAAAGTAACGAATTGCAGCCAAGCATCATTTCCACCCACCCACCCCTCTAAGAACTGGCCCTTTGGTGGTAGGTTGATTTATTTTCATTATTTATTTATTCATTGGTAAAAGGAGGGAGGGTAAAAAAAGAAGCTGGAAGTGCCATAGAAGAGCTGAGCGTGCAAAGAAAGGCAGTTCTCTTCAGAACTTGGTTTTTGTTTCCCCCCTCCGCCCCCAATTTGCCAGTTTTTAAGAGATGTGGACTTCCACTCCCAGAATTCCCCCATCATGATGCTGGCTGGTGAATTCTGGGAGTTGAAGTCCACCTCTTAAAAATGGTGAAGTTTGGGGGAAACCCCCCCCCCCCCCAAAAAACCCCTAGCTTCACGTAAATAAAATTGTAACTCTGGTGCCTAAGTAAACTCAAGAGTTGCTTTTCAGAGTGAGATGAACGTACAGTATAAATAAAATATATAAAATTTTGGATCCGGTTTCTCCAACTTTTATCATTTCCATGGAACCCAGAGCCCGCATCTGTCCTCCCTCCCTCACCCTCTCACCTGCTCCCTCACTCTGTGGCCAATGACCGTCGCACCTTCCTCCAACTCAGTCTCATTGATGGGGCGGATACGGAGAGCCACCTGCAAGCGAGACCGAGAGTTGGGCTTTCCAGAACTTTGGAATTCCTGCAAGGTTTCACACTCGCCATTTCTGCACCGCTACAGATGCAGAGCGGGTGTCCAAGGCACCCGTTTTCAAAAGAGCTGGCACGCTTGCGCCATGCCACCTTTCCGAGGGTGGCGGAGGGATGGAATGGCCTTGCATTTCATCACACGAACCGAGCCAGACGGGAGTAGAGGGGTAAGATTTGAGCATCAGGTTAAAATTTTGTTTCAATTGGGCTCATCCTGCAGAGTTGCGCACAGCTTGGAAAGGAAGCTGAGCACCTCGGGGGGGGGGGGGGGGGGCATTTTCTGTGTTAGCAGCCCCCCCCTCACCATCTCATTTAAAGGCATGACTGCTAAGTGACAAGGGTGGGGTGATTTGGGAAGGGCAGGGGCCGTGATCCACCAGCTCTGAAGAACTTACCACCACCTGGTGTTCTTCTGTTCTCAGGTCCTTCATAGTAGCTGAGCCCCCCGAAAATCCCCTCCTCTGGGCTGCACCGGGAGACACGGAGGGTGTTAAGATACCCATCTGGCTGACTTCAACCAAGCGATTTGCAAGAATGGGAGGAGGAACCAGAGGAGCAGCTCGCAAATGGGGAAAAAAAATGGCATTTCCCCAGGGGGTGGAGAACAGGTGATGCAAGACAGACGCAGGGAAGGTGCAAGGAATTGCAGGAAGGTTCAGCACCGATCTCAAGGAAAAAGGGGCTTTTTAATCACTATTTAAAACTACACTATTTGTACCCTATGACTATCATTAAGTGTTGGACCTTATGATTCTTGACGAATGTATTTTTTCTTTTATGTACACTGGGAGCGTGTGCACCAAGACAAATTCCTTGTGTGTCCAATCACGCTTGGCCAATAAAAAATTCTATTCTATTCTATTCATGAACCCCCCTGGATTTGCTAACTATTGAACAATAGCCTTCAAATAGGGATGGATGGTTTGAAATCCACCATGTCACAACCTTCAAATTTTGCCTCTCTTCTACTAGAAGATTTTAAGAGATGAGCAATGCCAACCTTCAAAGCACATCTCCAAACGGGCGCAAAAGACCGTAAAATTAAGGCTGCAATTATTCAACAGCTCCCGATTCAAGAGCAACTTTGATCCTGAAATGTTCCCTCCACACAAAACTGGAAGTCGACAACCTACACTGACCCCGAACGGCGTGTTGTCCTCAATATTTTGCACATCTCTTACGGATTTTAGCATCCTAGCGACTCAGCCTCATCAGAAATCAAGGCTACGGAGCGGGCTAACCCTAACGAACGTATTAATTGGAGCAGAACGGATAAGCTGCAATTTTCCTAAAAAACGGCATGGCAAACAAGACACCAGAGACGATTGATTGCGTGTCGGCTTGCTTTATTTCCAATGTTCAACCCACGGAGAGATCCTGTCACAATCGGAATATGGGAGAGTCGAGTCCACCGCGGTGCGGCTTCAACGCAACCAGTCACGCTGGAGAGAAGAGCCTTCCTGGCTGGCCTGTCTCTGGGTCACACCAGCCCACCCCTCCCGCAGGTGTGGGACGCAGCAACGGTCCTCGGCAAAACAGAAGCGCTGGAGTTTCCCCCTCTGGAGATCCTGGGAAATGTCTCAAGGCTGCCTGGGGATGGAGGGGGGGACCATCCCCCACGTGCTCCGAGGAGTATTTTAGCAGCAGCAGCAGCAGTAGATTCCGGTGGTAGATTGCTAAAAATTAGACCGAAACCCGCCCACCCTCCCAGTAAAGAAATACAAAATTAAAAGCAGTGCCTTTCGAGGGAGCCCAGCGGGGATGTCGGGAACCAAAAGGCACTACAGTTATGTCAGAATGAATGGATCCTGTGCAGTCACCGTCCAGAGAGAAAAAAAAATACGGATTTAAAAAACTTCCAAAGATGAAGAGATCTCCTGAAAAGGAACAACTCTCTTCTCAGGACGATCGATGGTGTTGCTGTAAAGGAAGAGAAAAAAAGGTTATTACACATTTGGATTCCCCTGCCCTTCCCCCTCTTTGCTCACGGACGGTGCAAGAGGAAGACTTCCTTACCACGGCTTTGGGATTTACTCTGCCTCTACAACTGTGATGATTTCTTCATTGATAAAAAATTCAACGGTCTCTTCCTCCCAGTCGTCCACATTGCTGTCCAGCTCGTCCGTGTCCACTCCTGGAAAGAGGGAAAGTAAAGTTCAAATGAGATGGATTCTGAAGGCAGAACTCTGCTGCTCTACGATGGTAATGAAGATTTGACGGCGGAAGTGCTGTCCTTCAATTGTAAAAAATGCGGCCAGAGAGGATTCTTAACCACCTTCCCACTGCAATCTTACTGTACATCTTTGATATGGTTTTTTCAAAGGCTTGTTTTCTTCATTAACATCCCATTAATTATAGCTTTTATAAACCAGTATCTGCCTTTATCAGAATCACAGGAGGCCAGACATAAGCAATAGCACTTAAGATTTATATACTGCTTCACAGTGCTCTTTTACAGCCCTGAGTCAGCAATTGCCCCCCCTCCCCCAATCTGGGTCCTCCTTTTACTGACCTTGGAAGAACAGAAGGCTGAGTCAACCTTGAGCCTGGTGAGATTTGAACTGCTGAAGTACTGGCAGTCAGCAGAATTAGCCTGCAATACTGCATTCTAACTTCTGCGCCACCACGGCTCTTTAAATACTTAAATGTTCAATATTAAATATTAAATATACACCCAATTACGCTCTACTTCTCGAAATGAACCTGCATAATCTTGCTTTTCAGACCAGGGGCTCTGTAGACATTTGGGATCTCGGCTCCCAGATCTAGGCTGGTCAAATACACCTGGAAATTAAGAGATTAACCTAAATTAAGCCAGCAGGTTTCCCTGCCCCACGTACCTCCTCGGAGCTCCAAGCGCTCGTTCCTCTGCTCCATGTACAGCTCCTGGGCCATCTTGCGGTATTTTTTGAATTCCTCCATCATTGTTCGCCGTCTGTCGACCAGTTCCTGTAAGAAACAGGAGTCATTTAAACGCTCCATCTGGGCCACTGGTCCAAAAGCTGCGATTCCCAAGTACCTTTCTTGTTAAAAGTATTTCCATGGGAAAAAATTGTCAATATGGACGCCCAGCTAAATACACAAAGGACTGGGTGTTAAGGCAGCTAATTAGCACATTCCTAACGGAGGGGATCATCGAAATGGACTGAAGTTGATGAGGGCCAAAGGCAGTAGCACCGTTGACCTATGTGGTTCCCAGATTACCTTCGCTTCGGATTCCCCGGGCAATTTACCTTGGAGGCTTTCGATTGGCTCAGGCGATCTTTCTGTTCAAATATCTTGGAGTACCTCTTCAGATCTTTCTTGATTTGCTGCAGCAAGGAAAAACAGAGAAATGCTTCACCTCTGAATGGGGATGTATGCAGAGAGAAACCACTCTCTTCAGCCAAGGAAAGTTTACCCAACGGTGTAACTGTTACTAGCTGCCCTGAAGATCATCAGGGATTTAAGTCAAGGCTTTCTGCGGGCCAAGCCCTGTCCTGTCCCTTCTCCACCTCTCTTTTGAGGAGTGCTGCCACTTCCTTTTGGAAACAGCATTCTTAAAAAGCGGATTTCTGCCCCAAAGGACGCCTCACCTTTATTTGATCCTGGGTGAGCAGAGTTGGCGGCCTGGGTCTCCACAGCAACTGGCAGAACCGGTCTTTGTTATTTTTCTGGAGGAGGCGACCCTGGAAAGTCCACAGCCAGTAGGCGTTGTCCACCTAAGGAGGGCATTTTGGTCAGGTGAGGGCATCCTGGCAGCAGCTGGAATTCAGCATCCCAGTGCTTAGAGGGAGAAGCCACACCGTGGCATGTAGTGTGTGGAGTATGATGTTCTATCTAGCTCAAGGACGTCTAATCTTGGCAACTTGAAGACGTGTGTGGACTATGACTCCCAGAATTCCCCAGCCAGCAATCAGGGAGTTTATAAAAAGAGGGTTTTGGGACTAATCGTGTGCATTTTGCTGTCTCAGGAAGCCTAAGTCGGAACATTGGTAAAGATGGCATCCACACAGAAAACTTAAATGACCACAACTAAGCCAGGTTACCTTGTGACTCCACCAAGACACAGATGTCACCAAAAAGCGGCCGGTGGGGTCCCATTCCACATCCGAGGCTGTGTAGTGCTCAGCAATGTTCATCATGGTGCAGTCAGAGGTATCCACAAAGGCCAAGGCACCATTCATGCTGAACAGAGAACAGAGAGAAGAGGCAGATTATCCCACTGGCCTCCTTCAACGTTTTGGCCAGGCTGCTGGGGGTGGGGGTAGGGGGTGGGGATTACCCTAGAACCATGATGGTGAACCTGTGGCACGCAGCGCCCTCTCTGTGGGCACGCGAGCCGTCGCCCCAGTTCAGTTCTGCTGCGCATGTACACGTCTCCCGCCGGCCAGCTGGTCTTCGGGTCTCGGCCATGCGTGCGGAGGGCACATACACATGCGGGGGGCATGCGCAGATGCATGGGGAGCATGCATGGGGGCAGGGCACATATGGGGGGCATGTGTGTATGCACGGGGGTGCATGCATGGTGCGCGCGTGCATTGTATTTTGGGGTTTGGGCGCATGCTTTGGGCACTCGGTCCAGAAAAGTTTAGCCATCACTGTCCTAGAAATTCAACTCCCTAAAACTGGGTTTAGGTTCCAGACTACGCAAGCTTCATTGGGGAAACCTCCCTTGATGGATTGTCGTGAGAAAGTGTCTTCCCAGGAGGGAGGGGGGTGGGTGGGAGTGCAGAGGAGTTAAGTGGCAACTCAGCCCAGAGATCATGTGTGAGAGAAAGAGGGCGAAGGCAGCCCCTCCTCAATAGTTCCCAGAGTATATCATCAATGCAGATAGTAGAGTCTTCAGTCTAGCAACTACAGGTGTGAAACAATAAAGAACTCAGCTTGGAAGTTTCACACCTATCATTCTTGGTTTTGGGGTCTGACACCTGGATAGAAATCCAGGGGTTGGGATCCGCTAACTTCTACATAAAGGAAACTTCAAAGGAGCCAGATGTTAATATTTTTGAGGGAAAGAAACTCAGAATGTGCATTTTCACTTTGTTTCTAATTACCAGAAACAAGTTACGTAGATGATTATAGAAGCGGATACCACTTTTGTTAACGCTTGCAGACCCAAGACAATCATTTAAATTCTTCCCCAAAGTGAGCGCTCACCTTCTGAGACCAGCCAACACCACAAACTGTCCCTGAGGGCTCCAGAATATCGTGTTTGCCTGCTGCTTGTCAAAGATTTCTGAGATAAAAATGAAAAACACGGAACTGATTTGACTTTCAAATAGTGAAACAGCCACCCTACAGTAACAAGGCTGGAGTTGTCTCCCGTCCCCTGTTGAGGCTGCTTCTGGAATTTTAACCCTGGAGGATTAAGTGGGCGATCTTAAAATAACATGGGAGCATAGCAGCCCAATTTTGTCACCACCCATCAGGCTGTTCTCCCTTTTTAATCAGATGCTCGAACTATTTAGCAGATCCAGAGGTTTAATTTATGCCGGCAGTTTCAAGATAGTGCTGAAAACCCAGTGGTTTTTTAACAGCTACAACTACAAAACCCACATCACAGAAAGTTCCATTTTCAACTGTATAATTGGGATAGATTATGCCACAATTTCCCCACCAGGGCCCAGGTAATTTACAATGCAAAAATATACCATCACTGATATTCAGCTGGGGGGGGGGGGGAAGGGATGCTGTGGAAAATGCTTTCTTTTAGCTACACCCGTTTACATATTTAGGATTTTAGGGTAACAATTAAGTGTAGATTAAGTTTAGATCCTGCTGGGAGCAGGATGCCAACGAAAAAAGAAACAAAACAAGCAGAAACACACTCAGAAAAGCAGTCCCCATTGCATTTTGCCTCAGCCGAAGATCACAACAGACTTAAAGGCAGCAACACACTGAGCGTGTGCAAAGTCCACTTACTAATGAGCTCTATTTTCCCATTGTTCTTCACGTGATAGAAGGAACAGGATATTCGGGGCGACTCCCCATGCAGCACGGCAAACTTGCTTCCGTTTGGCTCCCAAGCAAAGGCTATGATGCTCTCTGCAAAGGCAGGAAAATCCTGTCAGTCCGGACTAGAAACCCTCTAAAAGCCCGTTAGGCAACTCCGTCGTTGAAGGTGGAAGATGCAGAATAGGTAGTCTGAGGCCTTCACCATTCTCAGTTCAAAATTCTCTATTCAAAGCAACGAAGACCCCAGATCTGCCAGATCCAGAGGGAAAGAGCCAACACAAGTATCCCTCGTTAAGACGTAAGCCAGAAGTGTTGCTAAGGGCTGAGAAGCTGTTGCAGAAGTAAAGTATGTTGTACGTTGAATATGCTTTACTTCTGCTACAACGCAAGATAATCGTCTCCCAAGGAGCAATTCAGCTGGGGGACAGCGAACATGGCAGTTTGGAGAAATCGTGCACCTTCGCACGGAGGCTACAGGAAAGGTGCCCCTTTACCTTTCATTTCCACCACGTCAACTGGAACCTGCTTTTCTCTCATGCGGAAGATTTCGAAGTTGGTCACTACACCCTGGGATGGAGGAAAGAGAGCATGATTGATCCAAAGTGGGACGTTGCCGAGAATTTTATCCTTGCTAACAACGTGCATCATAACACCGTTTTATCAAGAAGAACACGATCTGTAAGTAAGTAGTGCTCTTATAAAGAGAAAGCTGAATGACATATTATATTTGAAAGAGGGCTTTCATCAGATACCAGACACAATTGTGGAGTCATAATTCAGGCCCGTACTGGATGGGATTTGACGGTTGCAGAAAAGAATTGCTTAATACCAAACAACAACAAAAATGAAGAGTCATGTGATCGTATTTTGGGCCCTTGGCAACCAGCCTGCATTTACAGCCGTTTGCAGCATCAGGTGAATGATCTGCGGTGTCTTTTTTTTTTTTTTTAATTTGATTTATATGCCGCCCTTCTCCGAAGACTCAGGGCGGCTTACAATGTGCTCAGCAATAGCCTTCATCCTTTTTGTATATATTTATACAAAGTCAGCTTATTGCCCCCACAACTGGGTCCTCATTTCACCTACCTTAGAAAGGATGGAAGGCTGAGTCAACCTTGAGCCTTGGCGAGATTCGAACCCTGCAGTAATTGCAGGCAGCTGGTCTTAATAAGCTTAATAACAGGGTGCCTTAAACCCTTGTACTACCAAGGCTCTTTGTTGAACTCTGATGCTTACTTCCAACTTCTGGCAAAGAAGGCCTTTGAGAACACTTCTGTCAACTTGCAAAGCTTTCAAGTTGCCATGAGCAGGAGGGAGGGAGAACTGATAGAGCTGATTGATTTCCCTAACTGAAGTGCATTCCATACATTCTTCCTGACCGCAATCAGAAGGAGGGTGTTGGATTTCACAGCCAAAGTGGTTAATTGGAGAATGTGATTTATGACATGTCCAGAGAGGAGGGGAGAGACAGGGTCATAGGGGAACGTAAATCTACATGGGATTAGTTCTAACTGCATCCAAATATTGCCGAAATGGTGCTCCTAATAAATGACTGTATTTCTTTTGAAGTTCGGCTCATGGCTCATGAATTAATTAGGGCATCTTTCGGAAACTTCACAACTTCACTTAAAGATCATGGAGTTTTGCTTAACCATCGCCATAATAAGGGTTGTACGGTCAAGTTGGTTATGCGATGACCCACTCAGTGACCAGCATAAGTTACATCCGGAATTCCAGGCTCAATGTAAGTCAAAGACTACCTGTAATCATTAAGGGAGCCCTAGAACACCTCAGGAGGAAGCAACTATTCTCTAACTGGCCAGTTTTATGAGTATGCGTGAGAAGCAAATACCTGGGTGCCCTTTGGCGTCCTGTCTACTTTCACGCAGAGGTAATCCCCGTTCTTCTGCCAATGGAGTTTGCAGTCTACCACGTTGAACAGGTTGCGCACTCGGATCTCCTGCCGGGAGGGGAGCTGCATCAGAGTCACCCTCGCTGGGATATCTTTGTCTTCAGGGACCCAGAAGGCAATTATGTTTCCTCCCGGGGACCAGGAGAAGTCTCTGAAGGGGTAGCAAGAAAGAAGCATCTCAAAGTGGAGAAGACGTATTCCAAAACAGCCACCCGACCCATACTGTGAAATCTATTTCTCAGGGTTTAGAAGAAGGGAGGAGCTCATTTTTTTTTAAAGGAGAGGTGCTGATTTAGTCACGAGTGACACCTTCATAAAAGCAGCATCAAGCCGATTCAAAAGGAGAGCACTCACTTGATCCCTGTGATTTTCAAACTTTTCTTATCCAGCAGGCCCATGGACTAGAACGACAAAAAGGACAACGTAACAATCCTGCAACTTATATATAATGGTATTTAACGTATAGACATTTTCCCATGAGAAAGGGATACTCTTTAAGGTCCCAAAAAGCACTGATGTACTTTTATATCCCCGAGCCTGGGAATGCATCTATGAATTCATTTATGTATAGAAATAAATAAAAGGAAAAGCAGAGGGAGGGAAAAGAGCTAAGCATGTACTTTTTCTTTTTGTTCACGTTTGCAACGAGTAATGTTTGGGTTAAGGCATGATCAGACTTACAGGCGTTTCGTAGATGCTAAGAGTATCGGATGTCATCCGGGCAAAGAATTTGCCATCGTGACTCCACCTGAGCAAGAAAAATTTCAAAGGTTTAGAGGGGTGTGTGTGTCCTATTTCCCAGTAATGAAAAGTGTACCACAATCGTTTTTAGTCCTCTACAAACATACTTAAATATGGGCCAGTGGGCGGAGCTCTCACAGTGGAACCCACGTTTCTTCTGTCCAGTTAGGATATCCCAAATAACGATGGCTTGAGGATCATCTTGGGTGTCCATCAGGGGGCTGAACGTTACCAGGTACCTTCACAGAAGACAATAAAATCGATTGCAGGGATACAAATGCTGTGATCCATTTCATACCGATTTCAGTAATCGAGATTACTTCAAATAGCTTGGTCCCCACGGTCACGTGGTTTACATTTGGATGCTTGACAACTGATTTACATTTATGACGGCTGCAGCGTGCCGGGGTTGCGTGATCCCTTTTTGTGACCTTCTGACAAGCAAAGTCAAAGGGGGAAACTGGATTCACTTAATAGCCGTGTGACTAATTTAACAGCTGTAGCGATTCGCTTAACAAACGTGGCAAGGAAAGTCATAAAACGGGGCAAGACTCACTTAACAAATTTCTCACTTAACAACATAAACTTTGGGCTCAATTGTGGTCGTAAGTTCAGGACTGCCTGTACATTTTCACCACAAGGTTATCATCACCATAGTTAAATAATCAAGGCAAGAGGCCCAAGGAGCGTCAAGAAACTGGGAAGGAGGGAAGGAGAGAGGAGAGGGGAGGAGAGAAGAGAAGAGAGGGAGGAGAAAGAAGAGGAAAGGAGAGGGGTTGTTGTAAAAATGGGTGAAATATGGGGTACAGGAGAAAAGAAAACAAGGGCAATTTCGTTTTTTTTTTCCTTGAGGGTTATACTATTGAAACTATAATGGAAGATAATACGGATGCTAAAGCACATCTGTTTAGATGTGGTTGTATACTAGTTAATATTTATATGAAAATTAAAATTTTGTGTAAAAGGTAGGAGTAAATAATATGAAATAAGGAAAACGGAATGTAATAATTAGGAATATGTTTATATGTATTGAAACGTATGATACTCAAACATCGCGCCATTCACACAATGATAGGTATAAATTTAAAAAAATAATAAAAACTTGATTAAAAGAAAAAGAAAAAGAAAAAGGGAACGTAAAGCTATTTCCATACAGAGAACTTAAAGCAACCATTACATACTCCAGCATTTTGAAATTCAGTGACAATTTATCAATGAGCAAGGCTGCTAGGTCTTTTGAAAAGCTAACCACCAGTAAATTTCCAAGAATACCTTTCGCAAGGTGAGAAGTCAATGAGCTGCACCCCCGGGTGGCTGAACCTCTGGATCTGTTTGAATTTCTCGCCACCCCACAAAGCAATGCCCCTCTGATGGAATGTAGCCAGGTAGGTCCCCCTTGGAGACCAGCGCACGTAGGTTTCTGTCCATCGCTGCAGGAGAAACATACATTAATTGCGTCAACCTATATTTGAATACCAAAGCTATATGAACATTTTATTTCTGAAAGTTTGCATGGAATTTCTTTTTTTTAATCTATTTTAATGGGCAAGAGCTGGAGCTGATCATTTGCTGGAATTTCCCCCATCAGTTGGCATATTAATTTTGTAGATAACCTGATAATTTAGTATAAAAAATCAGATATCAAATGCAAAACAAACGATCTATTTTGGCCAAGTATAAAACCCTTTAAATCTTATCTTATTAATGGTGCATATTTGTTAATTGTTATTATAGTATAGAATTTTACATTTACTCTCATTTCTACGAGTTGTCCAATCATGCCACCTATTCCACGCTATATAACATTTTGAGTCTACCTTATAAGATAATGGACGTGTGACCAAAGTCACTCTTTCTTTTTATGTATTGTCGTCTGTATTAATATATATGTATCTTGTATATACATGGTATAATATTTTACTTTTTATATGTTTAATAAAGTTTTGTTTTTAAAATAAAAAAAAAACCTTAAATCTTGTGAATAAAGAACATTTAACATCAGACAATTTTTGCACTTTGTTTTTCAACAAAGATGTTGAAATGTGAATCTCAGAATCACATAAGGATGAGACAAATTTTAACCGGCAAAAGCCACTTAGGACTGGTGAAATTTATGGCTCAGTTCAATAGCTATTATGTTCCTAAAATCTTATTCTGTGCATTAACTAATTAAAGCATTTGATATCATTACAGATGAAATTGGAATTATTTCTTACAGCCGCCAGCACACAAAGCGTTATCAAGAGAAACTTGCCCAAAACACTCACAGCTCTCTCCTCAATTGTAACAGGATCTTTAGCATCGTTCCAGTATATAGAGGTTCGATCTCCAGATTCAAAAATTACACTATACTGATCTCTGCAATCTGCGTCCTCCAACCAGTAGCGCAAATTTCCCTAGGAAATAACCGAAAGGGGGGAAAAAAGATGAAGAAAGAGGCTGCAAAAGAGAGTGAGCATTCTATTGTAAAAGAAAGAAAAAAAAACCCCCTCCTGCCAGATAGGAAAAGGTGTGTCATGGGGACACACACACAAAACTTTTGTTGTAGCAAATGAAGTACACTCTTGCCATGTAGCAAAATGAATTAAAATTGGTGGAGATATTTGGACACCAACAGTTCAGACAAATTCTGCAATACTCCAGCAAATAGCATGTAAATCAGTCCTCTCACTCAAGACACCTTGCAGGGTTGTTGTTTTTTTAAAAAAATTACACTTTCAGGAGTTTCAGTGTTATGCGTACTAATTATTGAGCTCACACCTCTTGCTGAAAACTTATTTTTTAAAAACAGAGACATGCATCCTGGGAATCATCAGAGTTTGGACAATGTAACTAGCAAGCCACACACTGATAACTTCAATCTATCTCTTGATGAAAATATACATTAGAGAATGGTGTAATCTTGATTAGGGCAAGGTCTGCTTCTCCTGCTGGGCTAGGAATGTCGTATCTTGGAGAATGTCTGGAATGATCTCTACATGCCATTCAGTCTTCTGAATACTTACCAGATCTTTAAATGGCTGTTTCTCTGGAATTTCCCACTCATCACTGATTGTCATGTACCTGAAAGTGCAATAAAATTAGTCACGTGTACCATGCAGGTATGTATTTTTGAGGAAGTTGTGGGGATAAAACTGTACTCACTTGTCAAAGTCAGTGAAAAGATTGACCCTGAAAGTGTGCTGTTTGTCCAGCTTGTAACCATCTGTGTTTTTGACAGCATCCAGAGCATGAGTGGGAGACATATATTCCAAGAAGATATACCTGCAGCAAAACAAAACCAGTTCATTTACATTCCACCTTTCACTCAGAAGTGTAATGCAGCATACAAATTATCTTATTTTTTTCCTTCCACTCTCAATATCTAAACTTTTCAAGAGTCCATGTTCATTGTGGGAGAAGCTCCCATGAGCACAGCAAGTAACCAGTTTTCCTTTCTTTTCTTCTTTCTAACGTGTCTTGTGTGTAACCCACAGTGTGCTTTCCTTCTCAATCTTTTACACAGGAAAAGTTGCCCAAGACTTTGCTTGGTTACTGCCGGATGGGAGCATTGTAAGGTGTTTTTTATAAGAAAACTTTAGCAAGGTGCCTTCAAAGCAGGATAATGCGGTGGTCAGCTTGGAGAAATGTGTTGGAGATGCACAAATGCACCAGCTACTATTCTGGCTTGCTGGATGGGCTAGAAGTTTATGCCTTCTTGATGGAGAGAAGATATGAAAAAGTCATCAGCACTCACCCTTTAGTCTGGCCATCAGCTTCTGGGTAAAATTCATTGGTTATCTTCCCAAACTTTGAGAAAAACTTATGGATAACATTCTTCAGTTTCTCAAGACGGTCTGGTCCAACCTGGGGGACATTGTCCACCACAATCACAGAATCAATTCCATCTGCTTCCTGAGGGAGCTCTTGCAGAATATCTCCCAGTAATTCTGTAGACAGTGAAAGAGAGATACCAATGAGAAAGGTCTGCTGAAGGACAGAGTCCATGGCTGCATTTGTAAGATAAAGCCAATCATCTACATTAGGTTTGTTAAGCCTCCTGAAAACACGCAGAAAGGAGTGATGAAAAGCCAAAGTTGGAATCATTGGGTGAAAAGGACTTTCTTGGTAAGCGGTTTTGAGTAATGAAGGAAAAAGTTTGGGAAGCATTGCTTTGGAGGGTCTGTATCATTTGACTCTGATCAAAAGGCCAGTGATAATTGCTGAGATGAACTCCTGAACAAATTATCTCAGCTTGTTTCAACAGTCTCAAGGTAGCCTAGCAGCACAACAGCACTGAGCAGTTCCTCCCCCTCCCCCTGTCATCTGCATTATTTTTCAAAGTTCTAAACCTGAAGAGCTTCAAAACTACCAAACTGTCACTGAGTTATCTATATGTAAGCTTTGAACACTACATCATCATCATCATCATTATTATTATTTATTAAATTTTTATACCACCCTTCTCCCGAAGGACTCAGGGCGGTGTACAGCCATATTAAAACAACATATACCCACAAAATTTAAAAAACAGTTTAAAATATATTAAAAATTTGGCCCTTATATTAAAAACTACAAACACCCAATTAAAATCATCAGTGTAATGTATGAGAAAAACTCTGATGAAATATTCTAGTCATAGTAAGTTTAAAAGTGCATTTTAATCTAATGTACCACAGCATATTGTCAAACATATATTCCACCCTTCTCTTTTAAAGCCAGCTGTATCCTTCAGAGTTCTTCACAGCCTTTTGGACTACACAGTGTTAATTTCTCTGTCATGCACAAATGTGGGTACTGAACATTCTCACAATAAACACAATAAACACAAATCGGACAAAATGTTCAACTGCCTATTAGGGCATCTTGCCCGATTTATTCACATAGTTCTTCCAGATTGGTACTCAATCCATGAGAGTCAGAAATAGAAGCTTCTACTTTCCCCAAGTAATCTTGGCTGATTAACTAGGATCGCTTTGTTCTCCTCTGTGGTTAAAATAACTCATCATAAAGCATCAGATTCTAATCTGGGATACTTGGAGCCAAACCCAGCAGCCTCTCCAGTTGTGTGTCCCTCATGTGGGACACAGAAGTACTTGACAACTCTGGAAGGGCTCTTCGATCCATCAAACTGATTTACCTAAACTGACCCCAGAAAAAAACAACAGATCTGAATGCACAGCTCTGGTCCTCCTCTAACTCAACCTACAGGTTAGGTTACTACCACAACCTTCATGCTAACAGGTTTTAAACAAGGTTTCTAATAAAAACCTCAAGGGTTTTTTTCTGAATAAATTTAATAATGCAGGAGTGTTTTTTTTTTAAAGAGGCCTATTCAAAGTTTTCAAGGTTAACAACTGGCATAGCTGCTGTTTGAAGGATTCACGGGTTTCCTTTTCCACTGATAACTAAAAACAAGGCTGCTTGAAACTGACAAGCTCTTCAACCACATTCAGTCAATATTGTACAGGTATTACATACATACACAACCGCTTCCCTATTTCCTCAGCTGTACTCACCCACCAAAAGGCTGGACAAGAAACAATGGATGGAAACTAATCAAGGAGAGAAGCAACCTGGAACTAAGGAGGAATTTCCTGACAGAACAATTAATCAGTGGAACAGAAGTTGTGGTTGCTCCATCACTGGAGGCTTTCCAGAAGAGATTGGACAGCCATTTGTCTGGGATGGTCTAGGGTCTCCTGCTTGGGATTGGACTAGAAGACCTCCAAGGTCCCTTCCAACCCTGTTATTCTGTTCAACCACCATGATGTGGACTTTTCAATCAAGTTTTGTTTGTTTTTTTATTTTGGGGCTCCTGGAGGGTAAGAACGACCTCCCGGGAAGCAGGTGGGAAAACAAGGACACGCTACCCCAAACCCAAAACAGCTGTCATTCCCACCTCACCCAAGACCCTCCTCCACAAGTCAAAAAGAGGGCTGTGAAAATATCTACAGACCCCTCGCATCCTGGACATAAACTGTCTCAACTCCTACCCTCAAAACGAGGCTATAGAGCACTGCACACCAGAACAACTAGGCACAAGGACAGTTTCTTCCCAAACGCCATCACTCTGCTAAACAAATAATTCCCTCAACACTGTCAAACTAGTTACTAAGTCTGCACTACTATTAATCTTCTCATCATTCCTATCACCCATCTCCTCCCACTTATGACTGCATGAGTGTAACTTTGTTGCTGGTATCCTTACGATTTCTATTGACTGGTTTCCTAGTATGATTCGATTGCTTATTTGTACCCTGTGACTGTCATTAAGTGTTGTACCTTACAATTCTTGACCAATGTATCTTGTCTTTTTATGTACACTGAAAGCACATGCACCAAGACAAATTCCTTGTGTCTCCAATCACCCTTGGCCAATCAAGAATTCAATTCAATTCAATTCAACTCATGTCAAATAATTCAATTCTAATGCACCAAAGACAAATCCCTCGTGTCCCCAATCACCCTTGGCCAATCAAGAATTCAATTCAATTCAGCTCAACTTGTGTCAATTCATTCAATTCAATTCCTATTCCATTCCATTTTCTATTCTATCCTCTCCTCGCCAACTGGGAACCCTGGGACCTGTAGTCAAGCCCCTGATTTGGGGGTGGGGGGGAGAGAGGTGCTAAGGGGCCACAACTGACTGACACACACAACCCCCCCCAACCGTCCTAGGCGAGTGTGTGTGTGTGTGTGAGAGAGAGAGAGAGAGCTTCCTTTGGGTGGGGCCTCCAGAGCAGCTGCGAGGGCCAGAGGAACATCTGGAGGGCAGGAAGGTGCCCTTCTCTCTCTCTCTCCCATCCCCCCAAAAGCCCCCCATCCCCCTCCTTTGAGGGCTGAGCGCGCGCCGCCTTCCTCCTCCTCCTCCTGCGGGGGCGCGCGCACCTTCCTCCTCGACGTCGTCCACGAAGTCCTCGGGGTCGCTGAAGGAGGGCTCGTCCTCGTCTTGGCCCAGAGGAGGCAGGAGGAGAAGCTGGGCAGGAGGAGGAGGAGAAGAAGGAGACTGGGGCTGCTGCTCCTGCTCGGAGTCCCGCTGCGGCTTCTTTTCCTCCTCCTCCTCCTCCTCTTCCTCCTCTCCTCCTTTTTCTTCTTCTTCTTCCTCCTCCTTTTCTTTCTCTTTCTTCTCCTTCCCTTCTTCTTCCTCCTCCTCTCCTTTTTCTTCCTCCTCGGCCTTTTCTTCCCTCGGCTCCTCACAGGCGGCGACTACCGGCGACTGTTCTCGGGCGGGCGGCGGCGGCTCCTCCTCGTTCACGGCCGGCGGTTCCTGAGGGGGAAGAAGCGGCTCTCCGGCTTCTTCGTCCCCGCTGCTTTTTTCCTCCTCCTCCTCTTCTTCTTCCTCCTCTTTTTTCCCCTCAGCAGCCTCGTCGGCGTCGGTTTTTCCGGCCGGTTGGGGCTCCGGCTGGGCCTGAGGCGACTCCGCCGGCGGCCTTTCGGCCTCCGAGTCGCTGCTGCTGCTGGTGGTGGTGTTGCCGCTGCTCCCTCCGCCGCCTCCGGACCCTTCTGCGTCGGCCGAAAGGGCGTCGGGAGGGGAGGCCGCGGCCGCCGCTACTAAGCTCTCCTCGGTCTCCTGCATGGGAAACTCGGGGGAGGCTGCGCGGCCTTCCCGCTCGCCTCACACACGGACGCACGCCGCTCGGAGAGGCCTGGGCCGAAAAGGAAGGGGAAGGGCGCATGCGCGACAGCACGCACGGGGGGGAGGTGCCCCCTAGCCGGGCCATGTGCGCGAGAGCGGCCTCCCGCCCGCTCTCGCGAGAGCGGAGCAAACCATTTCTGTGGGGGCGGAGAGAAAAAGAAAAGCAAGAGCCGGCTCGAAAGAAAACTTTCCTCGGTTTTTAGTGAAGGAGGATGACGTTCACTCGAGTCGTTTTCACCTTGCTTTTTCCCATACGGTTGCTTTCTTTGGGAAACGTTATTTCGGGATTATGCACAATCCTCCCCCCCCTCTGGATCCATCGAGGTATGGCAGTCCAAGATGGCGACCGAATTGAAAAGCGTCTTGAGGTGAGGCTCGCATCCGGCAGATGAAGGGAGGGGGTGGTCTCGGCAGGGCAGTGTTGATAAAACTATTGCTTTATTGCTTATGCTGTTAAACACAGTAGGAAATCCTTTATTTAGGAAGGCGATTTATGAAAAATGAAAAATATAGCCGCGCTGAACAAGGAATTAACGTTTTAACATAAGTCACGTATCACCCTTTCAAGGGTTCACGATGGTATCGTCTAGGAATTTGACGTAACGGGGGTATGGACCATACTAAGTGTATCGTAGGGGAGCTTTTAGCTAATTATGGGCACCTATCCTGAAACCCCTAAGACAAGCAGTGCCTGGAATATGCACTACCTGTTACAAATTGAACAGTATATACAATCCTATATTGTGACCCGCGTTTTTCTCTACGCTTCAATTTTTTTTTAAAAAAAAATTCCCTTGGAATGGTACGGCCCGGCGGGTACAGCCACATCAGCTGTTTTTTGCTCACGTGATCTTTCTTTTAAAGAAACAAGGACACTCCCCCCCTCCCCAAAAAAGGACGGCGAGCCATTAGGTCCAAATGCAGGAGAGGGATATTAACTTTGCTCCAAAGCTGGATGTTCCCCATCGAACTTTTCAAACGCTTTAAGTACAGATTAAGAGTTGCAATGATTTTATATAGTTTCTTCTTTTCTGCATTAAGTGGCATTTTATTTTTTTGTGAAGATGCCACTTATATATCCCTGACTAGGTTGCCTCCAATGTACAGGAATAGATTATTGCAACTTTTGCAATTTCCAATTTGGCATTTGGAGTCTAAAACATCTGGAAATCAAATGACGGGGGCTGGAGAAAGATGACTTCTGCCAATGTTGTCTTGCCAGGTTTCTCCTAATAAACACGATGCAGCAATACAAAAATTGTGGATAATTTTACAAGCACTTTAATTCCTATTATTCCCCCCCCCCTGAATATGACAGATAATATTGTAATTATATTAGATAATATTGTATTATCTAATATTGTATTATCTTAGTTACAGTGATGTTCAAATCTATTGGCTCTTTGCTAAACTGATAGGAACAAGGACATTAAAAATGACCCCTAGGAAGGAAAATCTTCTCCTATGATCAAAAGCTAAGTAAAACTGCTGTTAAAACACCACTGTTGGAAAATGACTATTAATATAAATTCACCAACAAAGTGGCTTTCAAATACAGTTTATGAATAAAGAATTCTCTTCTCTTCTCTTCTCTTCTCTTCTCTTCTCTTCTCTTCTCTTCTCTTCTCTTCTCTTCTCTTCTCTTCCCTTCCCTTCCCTTCCCTTCCCTTCCCTTCCCTTCCCTTCCCTTCCTCAGGATATGTATATGTGTGTAGTGTAGATATACATATGTATACACACTTGGCCAATAAAGAATTCTCTTCTCTCTTCTCTTCTCTTCTCCTCCTCTCCTCTCCTCTCCTCTTCCCTTCCCTCCTCTCCTCAGCATATGTATATGTGTGTAGGTATACATATGTATGCACACTCGGCCAATAAAGAATTCTCTTCTCTTCTCTTTTCTCTTCTCCTCCTCTCCTCTCTCTTCTCAGAATATGTATATGTGTGTATGTACTCTATGTATGGATATATATAGATATGAGCTCAGGCATCAGAATTTCATGTTTAATGTGTGCAGTGTGTACACAGTATGTGACAATAGATTATTTTATCCACTTTTCTCAAGGCTTCTCAACCTTGGCAACTTGGGGGTGGCCTTCAAACTGACGCTTGGCTGGGGGAATTCTGGGAGTGGAAGTCCACCCCTCTTAAAAGCTGGGGATGATACAGTATGCCAAGTTCAGACATCAGCTTGGGGGAAAGGGTGTGTCCCTTTAGGAAAAAAAAGCTAAGGAAGAGCTCTTTGCACAATCAACTTGTGCAAGCCTGGCTGGCGCTGCCCCCATCTGGGCGTTCCGGGGAGCGCTCCCCCCTCCCTCCCTCCCTCCCCCCCCATTGACGCACATCTGCTAAGTCAGAGCCTGCTGCTCCAATCGGGCCTTGCCAATTGCAACTGGATTTCTGGGGTACCCAGGCCTGTCCCAGCCAAAAGGGGCTGGAAGGCGGGGTGGAGGGTGGGAATCCCCTTATCCATTTAGCCCAGCCCTGTGCAACCCCCCTCCTACCCTTCCTCCCCCTCCCCCCGCGGGACTTTCTTGCGGGAGTTTTGCTAAGTCTGCGCAGCCTTGCAAATCGCCCCCAGTCTCCGCGCGGGTGCTTAGCGCGGCCGGAGAGGAAGGGGGGGGGTTTCTCTCCTCCCCCCACCCAGGATTCCCGGCCGTTTAAGAAACCCCTTCCCCACTTCTGGTAACCCCTCCAAGGCCCTTCCCCGCCGTTGCAGAAAAGGCTCGGCGCGCAAAGAGATCCTGCAGCAGCAGCAGCAGCAGCCACCGCCAGCAGCGCAGCGGGCAGCAGCAGCAGCACGTGTCGGCCCGCCTCGGAGGCGCCTCCCCGGCCCGCCCCACCGGCCCCCTGGCCGGAGAGCCAGAGGAGGGACGCTCCCCCGGAGGCTCACATGACCGAGGCCAGCGATGGACCGAGAAGAAGGGCCCGAAGCGAGCCCGGGAGGAGCCGCCGGTAAGCAGCCTCGCCAAGACGCGCGGCGCGCTCGCCTCGCCTTCCCTGCTGCGCCCCCGCACCGCAGCCCCCGCCTTGGCCAGCTGCGCCTGTCTCTCTCTTGCTCTCTCCAACGCCGGGCCTCTCCCGGGCGACCCCCGAGGCTGGGGACGATGGGCAGGGCGATCCCTAGCCCTGCAGACCCCGCCGCGCCCCGGCCGCGTTTGGGAACCAACAGCGCTTGGACAGCTCCCGGGTTGCCATCAGCTTCCCCGGGCGGGGGTGTCTTTCTCCCCATCTGGAGACTTGCGCAGCGCAGCCAGAGGGCAGAGGGGCTCGGCCCAGCTGCTTAGGATCGGGGGTGGGTGGGCGAGCGGGGCTTCAGCGTCCCGCGGGGCGCCCCCTCCCCATTTCTCCTCCTTTGCGCAGCAAGCTGGTTTCCTAAGCGCAGCGCGTAACCTTGGAAAGGTTTCTAGGGAAAGGGATCTAGAAGGCGTGGGAGGGCGGGATCTGGGTGGCTGTGGGGGATGGGAGGTGTAGTCTCCGCCTGGCTGGAGGGCTCCGAGGCAGGAAGACCCCTGCGGGGCTTCCCTCCCCACCTCTCAATTCCAGATTTTGGAAAAGGAGGCCTCTGTGCTTTCCTCCCCCCCCCCTTCCTTTTTAAAGGAGGTTGTTAGGATTCCCAGCTGCCTTTCTTTCTCCCAGCTTTAAAGCCGTGGGGACTCCCAACCCCCAGGATCCCCGCTGGGGAATTCTGGGAGTTGAAGTCCCCCTACAGTCCTCGACTTACAACAGTTTGTGTAGGGACCGTTCCAAGTTACACTGAAAAAAGTGTCTTAGGATCATTTTTCACACTTGCACATGATCAAAACTCGGATGCTTGACAACTGACTCATATTTACGACAGTTGCAGTGTCCCTGGGGGGGAGGTGTGTGTCACATGATTCCCCCTTTGCAACCTTTTGACAAGCAGAGTCAAGGGGGAAGCTAGATTCGCTTAACAACCAGGTTGCTAACTGAACAACCTCAGCGGTTCACTTAATCCCTGTGGCATAAACTCGTAGCAGGGGGCAAAACCCACTTAACAGACGTAAATTTTGGGCTCAAGGGTGGTCGTAAGTCTGAGGACTACCTGCATCTTAAACGTTGCTAAGGTTCCGGGAAGCCTGCATTAGAGGTTGGGCTGAAATGGGGAGGTTGGCAGGATCTGCTTGCCCATTGATGTCAACTTATCCTCATTATTATTATTATTATTTTCATGGTTAATCCTGCTGCCTTCTTCACGCGGTGGGTTTGTGGTCGCAACGAGCTGGTTATGTGGATCAGGAGGTGCCTATCGTGACTTCTCACAACCCGGTTATGACAGCCTCGTGTTGCTGTCTGGGAGGTTTGGGTGCATCTAGATAAGGCCAGCTTTTGCGCCTTTGGAAACGGTGGTTTGTGGTTTGTCGTGCTGCATTAGCCCAACCGAAGGTGCTTTACCCTCAATAAACCGACATTAACCCCAAAGATGGCTTGATAGGTGTGAAGCCAACCCAACTTTTTAACTTAGTTGCCTGGTTATCATTTTCTGGCTTTTTGTGCTGGCTGGTAAAGGCCTGGATTTGATTTCGCGTTATGCCGATTGGCTCACTTACTCGGTCATCTTTTTAATTTTCTCTACGCAATGAACCCAGCGTATTATTACCCAACGTCCCCTGTGCTGTGTGGATTGATTTAGTATGGAACGATGGAAGTTTTCTAAGCTGGAACTGGATGAGGTCAAAGGAAATGAAAAGATGCACAGGTTGCATTCTGTTAACTTTGCACTTTCTGGCTTTTAACGAGAGAAAAAGTCTCTGATGCATCATATCCCCTGAACCCACCCCCCCCAGGCTGGATGCAATCTATTCTCATTTCCTAGAAAACTTCCTTTCCTGTCTCTGAGCCTGCTGGGGCTGACAAAACATCCGACTAATTTCTTAACAGCACCAGAATTTGGGCGCCTGGGTTTATCGGTATCATTTTTTTTTACCTCTCTCTTTAGCCAAAAAAAGGGGAAAAGATCTTGGATTGTAGAGGTTGAAAGGGAAGGCAAAACGCAAGGGGTCGGAGAAGGAAAAAAGCAAGCTCAGGGCAGGAGGATTTTCCTAGGTGCTTCTCTTCCATGGATCCACTGTGGCGCAGTGGTTAGAGTGCAGTACTGCAGGCTACTCCTGCTGACTGCCTGCAATTGGACAGTTCGAATCTCACCAGGCTCAAGGTTGACTCAGCCTTCCATCCTTCCGAGGTGGGTAAAATGAGGACCCAATAGGCTGACTTTGTAAACCGCTTAGAGAGGGCTGTAAAGCACTGTAAAGCGGTATATAAGTCTAAGTGCTATTGCTATTCCTTCCTTCCTTCCTTCCTTCCCTCCCTCCCTCCCTCCCTCCCTTGTCCTTCCTTCCTTCCTTCCTTCCTTCCTTCCTTCCTTCCTTCCTTCCCCAGTGATTAGAATGCAGTATTGTAGGCTGATTCTGCCCACTGCCAGAAGTTTGATCCCGACCGACTCAAACTTGACTCAGCCTTCCATTCTTCCTAGATGGGTAAAATGAGGAGCCAGATTGTTGGGGGACTCTGTAAACCGCTTAGAGAGGGCTGTAAAAGCACCGTGAAGCAGTATATAAGTGCTATTTGCTATTCAGAGCCGTGGTGGTGCAGTGGTTAAAATGCAGTATTGTAGGCAAACTCTGCCCACTGCCAGCAGTTCGATCCTGACCGGCTCCAGGAGACCCAGATTGTTGGGAGCAAGAGGCTAACTCTGTAAACCGCTTAGAGAGGGCTGTAAAAGTACTGTAAAGCGGTATATAAGTCTAAGTGCTATTGGTATCCTGTAGTAGGTAGGCCTTCTTGCCTGCCTCCCGTGTGGCTCTCTCTCTCTGTTCGGTGTTGATTGTGGGTGCTTCAGGCTCTTTAGCTGCTCCTTTGTGGCTCGTGTTTGTTTTCTTCTTCCATTGTTTTCCCCCGGGGAGCTTAAAGCCTTGGAGGTGCCTGTGTGATCTTGCGCTAACATTTCCAATATTTAGGCTCCGGAGAGCCGGGAACAGATTCTGCTCAGCACAAGGAATGTCTTTGCTGGTTTCAGACAACCTTCTGTTGCATGTAGGGGTTTGGTCAGCAAATGTCTTGGAGATGCCCTGTGTGTGTGTGGCCCCGTGTCCCCTGGGTCTGTTTGCTGGGTGAACTGTACCAATAAAGAAGAATATTTGGCTCAGGGTTTTCTTTTCTCAGGTTTTCTTGCAGACGTTTCATGACCCAGCTAGGGAACATCATCAGTGTTAGAAGGGAGTGGGGATTGTAGAGTAGAAGAGGTGGAGAAGAGGAAGAGAAAGGGGAGGAGGAAGAGGAGGAGAAGAGGAAGAGGAGGAGGAGGAGGAGGAGGAGAAAAGGAGGAGAAGGGGAGGAAAAGGATAGGAGGAGAAGGGGAGGAAGAGAAGGAGAGGAGGAAAAAAGGATAGGAGAAGGGGAGGAGGAGGAAGAGGAGGAGGAGGAGAGGAAGAGAAAGGGGAGGAGAAGAAGAGGAAGAGGAGGAGAACGAGGAGAAGGGAGGAAAAAGAGAGGAGGAGAACGAGGAGAAGGGAGGAAGAGAAGGAGAGGAGGAAGAAAGGCTAGGAGAAGGGGAGGAGGAGGAGGAGGAGGAGAGAAAGAGAAGGAGGAAGAGGAGAGGAAGAGGAAGGGGAGGAGAGGAGAGGAGGAAGAGGAGAAGGGAGAAAAAGGAGAGGAGGAGAAGGGGAGGAGGAGGAGGAAGGGAGAAAGAGGAGTGTGGGGTCCCTGGTGCTCTCTGAGCTTGGTGGTTTTCTTGCAGACGTTTCATGACCCAGCTAGGGAACATCATCAGTGTTAGAAGGGAGTGAGGGTTTGTTTTTTGTTTTTTTTTTGAGAGGAGGAAGAGGAGAAGGAGGAAGGCTGTGGGGTCCTTGGTGCTCTCTGAACTTTCCTGTTTTCTTGCAGATGTTTCATGACCCAACTAGCTAACATCATCAGTGCTAGTGTTAACTGTTTCGCCGAGAGCAACATCCCTGTTCACACATGATTTACATTCAGATACGTGACAGCCGGTTCACATTTATGACGGTCGCAGTGTCCCGCGGTCACGTCATCCCCCTTTCCGGCCTTCTGACAAGCAAAGTCCGTGCCTGATTCGCTTAACGACGACGTGACTAATTCAACAACTTCAGCGATTCGCTTAACAAATGTGGCGAGGAAAATCATAACACGGGGCCAGACTCACTTAACAAACGCCTCACTTAGCAACAGAAATTTTGGGCTCCACCTTGGTTGTAAGCCAAGGACTGCCTGTACCAGTTTGCCAAGCAACCAGCCCTTAACGACCATTTGTTTAGTGTCCGTTCAAAGTTACGACGGTTTCAAAGTGACTTAAGAACAGTCCTTACACTTGGGATGGTGTTGGGGCAGTTTTAAGCGCAAGGACTGTTCTTCAGTCACCTTTTTCAGCACCGTCGTAACTTTGAACAGTCACTAAACAAATGGTTAAGGGCTGGTTGCTTGGCAAACTGGTACAAACTGATCGGAAGGTCATAAGAGGAGGACTCCGTGTACTGCAAATTCTGGACATTGGTTTCCCCCATTCTGAAGGATAAGAATGGCGCCATCTTATCTTATCCAGGTGAATCGGTCTGATTAATAAGCGATTAATAAGCGAGGGCCCCCATAATCTGATGATCTTTGGCCGAGCAGGATTTGAACTCGGCTCTTCCAAGTCGTAAGCCACAAGGAGGCCATCGCCCTAGCCCTTTGCTTGCCATCCCTCCTGAGCTCCAGGCTGTAAGTTCAGTAGCAAGATATATATATGCCAAGAACTTGGCAAGCGAAAGGCTAGGGCGATGGCCTCCTTGTGGCTTATGACTTGGAAGAGCTGAGTTCAAATCCTGCTCGGCCAAAGATCATCAGATTATGGGGCACTTTAAATATATAGTGTGTGTGTGTGTGTGTGTGTGTGTGTGTGTGTGTGTGTGTGTATGTATATATATATAGTTAATATATATATACATACTATATATATATATACTATATATATATATACATACATAATATATATACTTAATATTTCGGGTTTCTTCCCGTGTAATTGTGGATATATCCCTAAAAGGGTAGAAGCGACGTTTCAACAGAATCTCATCTGCCATCATCAGGCTTATGTGAGGAGTCTTTTGCAGTAACATACAACATATAACATATATATATATATGTGTGTGTGTGTGTGTGTGTGTGTGTGTGTGTGTGTGTGTGTGTGTACAGTTAATATTTCGGGTTTCTTCCCGTGTAATTGTGAACATATCCCTAAAAGGATATCCCTAAAATATGTTCACAATTACACGGGAAGAAACCCGAAATATTAACTGTACACACATATATACCTGTGAAAACTTACATACATACATACATACATACATACATACATACATACATACATACATATGTATATGTATATGTATATGTATATGTATATGTATATGTATATGTATATATACACACTATATATTTAAAGTGACCGTTTCAGACATCTGGAGAGGCTTATGTAACTCAACCCTCTACCACCAAACCACCAATATATATATATTTTTAAAAAAATATTTTTATAATATTTGTTAAGGTTTCTTTGCAGGCCTGGAATGGATTGGGGGCTGAAATTTGGAGGGGCAAATGAATCTGGCCACTCAGCTTGAAGGCCACGCCGCCGTTCATCGGTGGTCAGGTTGGCATGGAAACCAGGTTTATTTTGTGTCTCGGATCCCGCATAGCCTGTTTAAAAAAAAAAAAAGTGACCCTCGGCCAAACTTGAAAAATTTTATTTTTTTTTCCCAGCTGTTTCTCGTTGCTGAAAATTATTTGGCAGGCATCGCTTTTATTTTTCTTTCCCTGGGCCAAAAAAAAAAATTGCAGAAGTACGTACTTGGGCCGCGTTCCTTTCCGAAATCATTTCAGTTCCATTTTCTGATGAATTCTAGAAATGTTAAGAAGAGTGTGGGGGGATTTCCTGAGAAGGGGCAGGGGGGAACCCCTAACCTTTTTCTTGATCAGAAACTCTGGATGGGGAAATTACAAGGCTTCCCAGCGATTCTTTCTAAACTTCTCCTTTTTTCCTCTTACAAACTGGATTAAAAAAAAAAAAAAGGAAGCAAAACGGCAGTAAACAAGCTAGGACAATTTGATTTGGGGCTGATCTCCCTGTTATCCTGGTTTCAGTTATTTTGCCTTTTGCTGAGGCTTTGCATTCCATTGTAGCTCTTGTTTTCTTCTTCTTCTTCTTCTTCTTCTTCTTCTTCTTCTTCTTCTTCTTCTTCTTCTTCTTCTTCTTCTTCTTCTTCTTCTTCTTCTTCTTCTTCTTCTTTCTCTCCCCCCCTCTCTCTCTCATTCTCTCTTTCTCTCTCCCTCTTTTTCACTTTCTCTCTCTCTCTTCCTTTCTCATTCTCTTCTTCTCTCCCTCTTTCTCTTCCTCTCCTTTTTCCATTTTCTTTCTCTCTCCCCTTTCTCTCTCTCTCTCATTCTCTTCCTCTCTCTTCCTCTCTCTCCCTCTTTCTCTCTCTTTCTTTCTCTCTGTTTCTTTTTTTCTTTCTCTCTCCCTTTTTCACTTTCTCTCTCTCTTTCTCTCTTTCTTTCCCTTTCCCTTTCTCATTTTCTTCCTCTCTCCCCACTTTCTCTCTCTCTCTCTCATTTTCTTCCTCTCTCTCTCCCTTTCTCACTCTTTCTCTGTCTCTTTCTCCTTTTCTCTTTTGCTTTCTCTTTCTGTCTCTTTCTCTCTCTCTCCCTCTTTTTCACTTTCTCTCTTTCTCTTTTTTTCCCTTTCTCATTCTCTTCCTCTCTCCCCTCTTCCTCTTTCTCTCTCATTCTCTTCCTCTCTCTCTCCCTTTCTCGCTCTTTCTCTCTCTTTCTCCTTTTCTCTTTTTCTTTCTCTTTCTCTCTCTCTTTCTTTCTCCCTTTCTCACTGTCCCACATGCTCTTCCTCTCCCTCTCTCTCCCTCCCTCCCTCACTCTTTAACCCTAGAATAAGTGAGATGTGAAGAAAACTGCTTTTTGTGGCGATACAGTGGCAAGGAAACATCTGATTTTGCATGTTGGGGAGCCCCGTTTTCCTCTGCTTTGCAAGGCCGGGCGTTGAGATCAGAATGAGGAATCCTTGATCCCCCCCTCCCATCCCCATGCTCTCTTCTCCCCCCAGCCTCCATCCCCCTCTCCCCATGGGATTTGCTCTGTTCCTTCCGGAGGAAAACTTTTTCTCTCTGGGAAGGGACCTTGGACTTTGGGGGTGTTGCTGAGTGCACTGTCTCTGTTCTGCTTTTGAGGGAGCGTGCCTTGGAACGCGTTTGCCTAAATGGATGTCGAGAGGTTTTGCCACATGGCATCGTTGCCTTAAAAGAATGTTTGGGCTTTCAAACTGTTTTAAAAAAAAAATTCTGTTCAATCCTGTCTGATTCTCGGAGACGGCCTGGACAAGTTTTCTTGGCGAGGTTTTTCAGAAAGCCTGCCCTTGGCTCCGTCTAAGAGCTTGGAGAGACAGACTGGCCTGAGGTCATCCAGCTGTTTCAGTGCCCAAAGTGGGACTAGAACTCACGGCCTCCTGTTTTCCAACCTGCTGCCTTCACCGCTACGCCAGACTGGCTTTTCAAGACTGCTGAAATGTGGCCAGATGGGGACTGCGAGTGTGATGTTGCATCCCTAAAACGATTCAAACAAGCTCCACCGTCTTCCTTGGAATAACAGAAGAGTTGGAAGGGACCTTGGAGGTCTTCTAGTCCAACCCCTTGCCTTCTTGTGTGGGAAGGTGATACATCCTGCTCCCATGTGGTGTGTGTGTGTCCTTCTGTTTCTAGCCATCCAAATCGGTGTGTGTGTGTGTGTGTGTGAAAGAGACATTCCAATGCCATCACATTGAAAAGACCAGATTAGAAAAGACTCCTGTACCAAGTGTTGCGATTGTCCAATCAGTCATGATTGTTTGAGTTACCTGGGCTCAGGTAAGACCAGCATTTGATGCTGAGACTCTAGAAAGAGTGCAGAGAAGAGCAACAAAGAGGATTAGGGGACTGGAGGCTAAAACATATGAAGAACGGTGGCAGGAACTGGGTATGTCTAGTTTAATGAAAAGAAGGACTAGGGGAGACATGAGAGCAGTCTTCCAATATCTCAGGGGCTGCCCCAAAGAAGAGGGAGTCAAGCTATTCTCCAAAGCACCTGAGGGTAGGACAAGAAGCAATGGGTGGAAACTAATCAAGGAGAGAAGCAAATCTCCATTCCCCCTCCAATCCAGGGGAAGGTTACTGCAAAATCCCCATTTCCTCCCGATCAGCTGGGACTCGGGAGGCAGAGAATAGATGGGGGCGAGGCCAGTCAGAATTTTTACTACCGGTTCTCCGAACTACTCAAAATTTCTGCTACCGGTTCTCCAGAACTGTTCAGAACCTGCTGAAACCCACCTCTGGTGATGGGTGAAAAAAACCTTGCCTTGAATTATTCGATGTTCTCCAACCAAGGCCTTTTGGCTCTGTAGGGATTACAACTCCAAAACCGGTCACATCTGGAGAGCCTCACCTTGGAAAAGGCCCCTTGCAGATAAAATAATAGCAATGACGAGCAGAATGGCCTCCAGTGCACGGATCTGTCCTTCGCCCAGCCTCCTTGGCTCCCAACGTTTTAGCAATGAACATCTTTTAGCAGATAGGAAGTACGGACAGTGGGGTTGTTTTCTCCTCCTCCTCCTCCTCCTCCTCCTCCTCCTCCTCTTCTTCTTCTTCTTCTTCTTCTTCTTCTTCTTCTTCTTCTTCTTCTCTCTCCTCCTCCTCCTCCTCCTCCTTTTTTTTTTTTTCTTCTTCTTCTTCTCTCTTCTTCTCCTTCTCCTTCTCCTTCTCCTTCTCCTCCCTCTCCTTCCTCTTCCTCTTCCTTTTCCTCTTCTTCTTCTTCTTCTTCTTCTTCTCTTCTTCTTCTTCTTCTTCTTCTTCTCCTTCTCCTTCTCCTTCTCCTTCTCCTTCTCCTCCCTCTCCTTCCTCTTCCTCTTCCTCTTCCTTTTCCTCTTCTTCTTCTTCTTCTTCTTCTTCTTCTTCTTCTTCTTCTTCTTCTTCTTCTTTTTCTTCTTCTTCTCCTTCTCCTTCTCCTTCTCTCTCCTTCTCCTTCTCCTTCTCCTCCCTCTCCTTCCTCTTCCTCTTCTTCCTCTTCCTTTTCCTCTTCTTCTTCCTCTTCTTCTTCTTTCTCCTTCTCCTTCTCCTTCTGTTGGCATGGAAATCTTCATTTTTTTCTCCCTCCCACTTCCATCGTTGGTTGCAAACAGGAATCCAAGAATGCCAGCTGTAAGTTTTGCCGCGTTTTGATCTTCACAGGAGCCAGTTCGACGAGAATTACCAGCTTGCTCGACTGGCTCCCTCAAATGATTTTTTTGGCACCCGGCCGAGCGGAGCCAACTGCTTCTGAAGATAGGTGTGGGGTTTGAAACGTTTCTGGGTAGTTTAGGCAGGTAGAGATAAAATTCTCCAATGTAGGTGTGCCCCTGTTCGGGCAGGAGCAGTTTACAGATTGGGCAGCCGAACATCTGCACGTCGGGAAGGTCTCTTCCCGCTGCCTTTTTTTTTTCCCCCTTCCTAAGAAGCATCTCCTTTTCTTTTTGCCATTCCTCTTTCTCCTCTAGACTTGGGGGAGCCTCCGGTCAGCGACCCCAAGGATCCAGAAGAACCTCCGATGCAGAAGCCTCCAGGAAGCCCCTTGGTCCTTCCTCACACCTTACAGGAGCTCTTGAGCAAAGACATCGTCCAAGTGCAGTTAATCCCGGAGAAAAAGGGCCTGTTTTTGAAGCACGTGGAGTATGAAGTCTCCAGCAAGGTTGGTGACGAGGAAGAAATTCAATTCCTGGGCTTTTTTTGGCTTTGAGAAAGTTGGTGGATCTTCCAGACGGGGCTGAACTGAGGAATTAAAAAGGGGTGTATTTGCAGAAAGCCCTAAGATTGGTCTGAGTGAAGAAGAGTGAAGCAATTTCTCTTGGCTCTTAGCTGAAGAGTAATTGTAGAGTTGCAACAGCCCGTGTCTTGGGAGAGCCGTGTCTTCCTTAAAAAAAGAGAGAATGTCTGTGTTTTGCTGTTGTTGATCAATGCTGTGTTTAATTTTGAATGCAAATTGTCCACCACCTTGTGCAAATTTACATCAACATTTTAGAAATCGTAGTTATTAGAATATAAATTTCTTTTTAAAAACTTTAACGCAGTGTTTCCTAAACTTTTAATATGGGAGTCTTCAACTCCCAGAATCCCCTAACAAGCCAGGTTGCCAAGGTTGTAAAAGGGTTAAGGATTAACCCTTGGTTAAAGCTGTTGTCAAATAATATAATGGATTACTTAGGTTTTATATTAACTCTTACCAAACAAGTTATAGGACAACAAGAAGAAAGCACTCCTTTTCCACTATTGTGGAGCCTCTCTGTAACCAGTATGATAAATAATGAAGGTTTGGTTGAATTAGATTGGATTTTCACCAGATCAATTGATAAAATCAATTGCTTGGGTTTCAGGAAGCCTCCCATCTCCAAATTTAAACCTAAAAGTTCAATGCCGGCTGGCTGTAAGAAAGACCTCATGTAGGAATAATCTGAACAATTTAATTATTTTTCTTTTTAATAATCGGCAAGTATAGTCCAAATACAGCGTGAGATGCTAAGATTGGCAAAGAGGGTTGCCAGGTAGCAGAAAGAACAAAACATTATTCCATCGATAAAGATAGTTGGAGTGCTTTTAGGGAATTGATAAAGCTGTATCAATTTCTGCCACTTCAATCACGGGCGAGCAGTTGAATCGACTGACTTCCATCCCTTTCTCTGGCTGGTGAAAAAAAAATAAAAATCCCAATTGAAAGCGTTGCTTTCAATTGTCCCGAAATAAATGATTTCCTCCCTGCACGAGGATTTTTTTCTTCTTCTTTCCTTCCACATTCGCTCTTGGCAGGTTTTTCTTAGCGCTTATTTTTCAGAGTGATTCAAATTCCAGCAATGAAGGCGAGGGGGGAAAAACTTCCAGCTCGTTGCATCATTTAGCTTTTAGAGAAGGATTTATTGCTGCGAGATGTGGCGTTCGTGGTTTGTTTAGATCTGTTGCGAAGGGAGGCCGAGACGGATTCTTGGATGTTTAAGCCAAGGGTGAACGGATAAACTCGCTCACACCAGAGTCCTTTAACTTGCTGCCCATCGCCGGAAACGAGATCTTTATTTATAACCAATTTCATTGTATAAATGATCTACGATGACAATAAAGGCTAAACTTTATTTACTGAATTGCTGTCGCTAGCTGTCCATCTCAATAAGGAGTTCTGGGCAGTGAACAAGGTTAAAAGTAAAAATAGAAACAATAACAACGGCAAAAATCAAAATTGAAGATAGCAGCCAACGGAAAGGTTAGAGAGAAGTTCCCTGAAGATATGGGCTCCAGCATGAGTCCAAAACCCCAGAAGGCAAAACCTCCAGTCCCGATGTCCGACCCAGATTGGATCCTGCAACATTATCCTAGAACACGTAGATTCGCCTTCGTTCGTGAGAAATGCAACAATGGCTTACACAACCAGGAGATGGGTAATTTCACACACTTTAGGCAGAATGGGCCAACTTGCCACAGCCAACTCGCTGCGGGGCCATTTAACAATTCAATGTCATTATTTAAATCATTTAAATTTTTGTCATTCGCTTTTCATTTTGTCCCTCCTTCTTCATCCTTTCTTTAATGATTCTTTCCCACCATTTCTTTGACATTAACTCTTGTTCCACAGTGAATTGTCCTATGGCAAGTTGGCTGTAGCGAGTTGTCGTAGATCTCACTTGGGGACCTTGGCCTGGGCATAGAACCCAAGTCTTAGGATTTTATGAAAGGCCAGTGGGATTGGAGCCAACCTCATCTCCGGAGGAAGAAGGCTCCGTAGAGTGGACAATTATGGCAGACGAGACATATCTGCTGGCATTCCTTAGCCAATGAGATCTGGAGTGTGCCCATCTTGACATTCGAGATAGGATGGGTAGAAACAACCAGGGTCCCTTAAGTGACCTGGTCCCAAGCCAGGAAGTGCTGGACTAGAGGGCATTTAGGTCTTCTGTTCTTGTTCCAAGGTGCCGAGATGGTGTCCAGCACCATCTTTGAGGAAGCTCTGAATGGACTCCTTCATTCTCCCTACAGCGTTTTAGGTGCTCCGTTTACCGGCGGTATAATGACTTTGTGGTTTTCCATGAGATGCTCCTTCAGAAGTTCCCCTACCGTATGGTCCCTGGCTTGCCTCCCAAGAGGATGTTAGGAGGTAAGCTTGGAAGGGACGAGATGGGAGGTAACTAAACTCCAAGAAGACCATTGATAATGACGTTCCCCAACCTGATCTTTCCAAATGGATTGGAACTATGACTGTCGGGCTTCCTAGTCAACCAAGGCAGGGGTCTCCAACTTTGGCAACTTTTAAGACTTGTGGACTTCAACTCCCAGAATTCTGGCTGAGGAACTCTGGGAGTTGAAGTCCACAAGTCTTAAAGTTGCCAAGGTTGGAGACCCCCTGAACCAAGGCATTGTGTTGGGAGTTGCAATCCCGGCCGTTCTAGAGATGTCCTGTTGACCATAGCTTATGGCTGGAATTGGTAGAAGAAGTGGGACTTCCTTTTGGGCATTGGGAAGGTTTTGAAGATTGAGGTTCCTCAACCTGGCCCTTCTCCCATCCTCCAGCTGACCGAGAATTCATCGAGACCAGACGCCGTGCCTTGAAGCGTTTCATCAACCTGGTGGCGCGACACCCTCCTTTTTCAGAAGACGTGCTTCTGAAGTTCTTCCTCTCTTTCAGTGGGTCGGTAAGTGTGCCTGAGAAGGATTCCATTGGTAATCAAATACATTGTAGAGATCAATGCTTGCTGGCTCATCTATTGCTGGTTTGCCAGATGCCTCCTACTAGTTAGATATCTACCATAACATTGTCCACAGCAGGATTTTCCAAGCTGGGCAACCTTGACAAGGTCTTGAGGCAACTAGCAATTTCTTTAGTCACTCGGTTGCATGTACATCTAGTGAAGGAGACAAACATAGTTTCTGGTGCTCAACCTCGCTTTGAGTAGCAGCTGATCTTACTCAGGGTCATCCCAACGGCAATGAACTAGATGACAGAGGTTGACTCAATCCATGGACACTTCATGTTTCCAGTTAATTTTGTAAGTGACCAACCAATTTCCTGGTATCTCACACTACTACAGTTCCCACACATAGAATCAGGGATGGGGCTGCTGGGGGTTCGCAGGGGTTCGGGAGAACCTCTAGCTAAGATTCTGTGCAGTTCGGAGAACCCCCAAATCCCATTCCTGGCTGGCCCCTCCCACCCCACCCTGTCTCTCCCAGGAGTCCTCACGTGGCCCGTTTTGGATGCAGGTAAGTGTAGGATGCGCGTGGAGGCTCGGGGAGGGCGAAAAATGAGCCTACTGGAAGTTCAGGAAGGCCGGAAACAGGCCCGTTTCCGGCCACCAGAGGGCCTCCGGAGCCTGGGGAGGCCGTTTTCGCCCTTCCAGATGTTCAAGAAAAGCTTCCTGAACCTGGGGAGGGCAAATACGCCCCCCCACCATGATGCAGGAGGCCGACTAGGCTACACCCACCATGGCCACACCCACCCAGCAACCAGGCAGAGAACCCTTTGCTAAAATTTTTGAAGCCCACCCCTGCATAGAATCCAGAGGTGGCCTTTGAGTCAAAGGCAGAGGTGAAATTCAAAATTTTTCCCTACCGGTTCTGTGGGCGTGGCTTGGTGGGTGTGGCAGGGGAAGGATATTGCAAAATCTCCATTCCCTCCCCACTCTGGGGCCAGGCAGAGGTGGTATTTGCCAGTTCTTCAAACTACTCAAAATTTCCACTACCCGTTCTCCAGAACCTGACAGAACCTGCTAGATTTCACCCCTGGTCAAAGGTGAGAGATTAGTTCCTTCACAGAGATCACAGAATGTTGACAAACGTCGTACTGACAGATGCAAAACTCCAGGAATGTGAAAGGAGACGGCCATTGCTAACCCCCCCCGGTGGCTGTAGGAATGCCCTTCCAGTTTCTTTCTGCCCTTTGGGTCCCCCCCTTCCTACTTCTCTTCTTCTTCTTCTTGTTCCAGGATGTTCAGAACAAGCTGAGGGAATTGGTCCAAGGTGTGGGAGACGAATTCATGACCTGCAAGTTCGCAATGCAGGCGAAGGTAATTGTCTTGAGGAGACCTCTTATCAGAGACAGGGACATGGAGTGGCTGTCAGGTTTCCGAGGGATGAAACCCATTCAAAAAAGAAATGGGCAAAGTCCCATCTTCCAAAAGAAATTCCTTTTATTTACCGTGTTTCCCCGAAAATTGTGTTGTGGCCCGTCAGCGGCCTGTGCAGTTAGTAGTTGATTCCAACAGCGAGGAGGCTGGTGTGGTGCTGCGCCAGTAGCCTGTGCAGCTGGCACCTGAGTCAGACAATGAGGAGGCTGGAGAAGATGTGGTGCCAGAGGTGGGGATTCAGCCAGGGCCTTCAGAACCTCCAGAAGCTCCCATAAGTGAAGAGGACGAAGAGGAGGAGCCTCTTCTCAATGCACGGGCGCGCAGAGCTGCCAAAAGGCAGGAGTGGCTCATCAGGAGGAGGTCTCCTCGAGAGTAAGGCTTGGGGCTAATTGGCCACTCCCTTAGCCTATTTAAAGAAGGACAACGACTGATGCAATTTGCAGGAAGCAACTTTGTTCAATTTCCTTCGCGTCTTGATTACAGAAAACATTTGATTTGGCTCTTGTTTCTCTTGTCAACTTGCAGAGCTTTCAAGTTGCCATGAGCAGGAGGGAGGGAGAACTGAAGTGAATTCCATACATTCTTTCTGACCGCAATCAGAAGGAGGGTGTTAGGTTTCACAGCCAGCCAAAGTGGTTAATTGGGGAATGTGATTTATGACATGGCCAGAGAGGAAGGGAGAGACAGGGTCATAGGGGAACGTAAATCTACGTGGGATCAGTCCTAACTGCATCCGAGTATTGCCAGAATGGTGCTCCTAATAAATGAATATATTTCCTTTGAAGTTTGGATCATGGCTCATGAATTAATTAGGGCATCTTTCGGAAACTTGACATCTCTCTTATCAGGGCTGCTTTAAGATGGGTGGGCTTCAATTCCCAGAAGTCCACCCATCTTAAAGCGGCCAACGTTGAGAAACATTGACTCAAGATGCTTGAGCTGCATTGAGAAGGACGGGCTGGGGAAGATTGTACCAGCTGCGGCCAACTTCTCCTGCTATGTAGAGCTCTTCCGGCTATATGGAAGCTGGCTATTCTGTCTTCATCGCCCACCTGGCGCCCCACCAGCATCCCCAGGTAGCTGTCGTTGGGTCTCTTGAACTTTCCTACCTCTCTTTCAGGAATATTTGCCAACAGACATCCAAATCCAGTTTGCGGCCAGCCGAGAATTGATCAGGAACATTTACAACAGCTTCTACAAACTCAGGGACAGGACCGAGCGGATAGCATCCCGGGCGGTGGACAATGCCTCAGACCTTCTCCTCTTTGGGAAAGAGCTAAGGTGAGCGGGCGTGGACTGAGCCACTTCTTTTCTAAGCCCAAGTCTTGGGCTTGAGCCGCCATCTCTATCGACCGGGAGCGATTCCTCGAAGTTAGGACAGACCTCCTGGGGTTACTTACGGCCCAGCTTCGAAGTTTCAGCAGCCCCAAACTCATGAATCATAGATGTTTGGCAAATGGCCTGCATTTAACTGCGGTGGCGCAGTGGTCAGAGTGCATTACTGCAGGCTACTTCTGCTGACTGCCGGCTGCCTGCAATTTGGCAGTTCGAATCTCACCAGGCTCAAGGTCGACTCGGCCTTCCATCCTTCCGAGGTGGGTAAAATGAGGACCCAAAATTGTTGGGGGGCAAGAGGCTGACTCTGTCAACCGCTTAGGGAGAGCTGTAAAGCACTGTCAATGGTATATAAGTCTAAATGCTAAGTGAGGAGGGAGGGAGGGAAGGAAGGAAGGAAGGAAGGAAGGAAGGAAGGAAGGAAGGAAGGAAGGAAAGAAGGAAGGAAGGAAAAGAGAAAACAAGGCAGGGCTAATGGAAGGAAAGAAGGAAGGAAGGAAGGAAGGAAGGAAGGAAGAGAAGGAGAGAAGGAGGCAGGGCTAAGGGAAGGAAGGAAGGAAGGAAGGAAAAGAGAAAACAAGGCAGGGCTAATGGAAGGAAAGAAGGAAGGAAGGAAGGAAGGAAGGAGAGAAGGAGAGAAGGAGGCAGGGCTAAGGGAAGGAAGGAAGGAAGGAAGGAAGGAAGGGCCATGGTGACGTAGTGATTAGAATGCAGTATTGCAGGCTAATTCTGCCGACTGCCAGCAGTTTGATTCTCACCGGCTCAAAGTTGACTCAGCCTTCCATCCTTCCGAGGCGGGTAAATGAGGACCCAAATTGTTGGGAGGGCAAGAGGCTGACTCTAAAGCTTAGAGAGGGGCTGGTGCAAACGGGGAGTTGGTGCAAAGGCTTGGCAGAGTCTTCACAGATACCCCTCTTTCCTCTTCCGACAGTGCTTTGGGCTCGGACACAACCCCGCTGCCTTCCTGGGCGGCTCTGAACCACAGCGCCTGGGGCAACCTGAAGCAGGCTTTAAAAGGCCTGTCCGTGGAATTTGCCATGCTGGCTGATAAAGCAGTTCAACAGGTGAGCCGGGACGGGCAAAGACTTGTGGGGTGGTTGCCCAGGATGATGGGTCTGGGTGTCCTCCGCCTCTGAGATTCATTGAACTTTCAGTGAAGATTGCAAGGAAGTGCCTGGGGGCCGTCCTCGTTTAGGGACCGCCTTGTTTGGCGACCGTGGGGACAAAACAGCCCCTTGGAGATCCCCCCCTCCTGGCGTTGGCGGCCTTCACCGGCTTCTGTAAAGCCAAGGAAGGCTTGGAAGGAAGACCGTAAGCACCGTCGCGGTTTCACTGAACGACGTTCGCTTAACGACCGAGAAGCCAGTTCCAGTTTCAGTCTCCAAACCAGGACAAGCTGTCAATCTACAGGACCTACCAGCTCCTGTCGGTGAACCAATGATAAAGATAAGGAAACACCATCGGAATTCACAACTCCATTGGAGAAAGGCGTGTATGAAAACAAATGTCCATTTTTTTTTTTTTTTTTTGGCCGGGGGAGGTTTTCGTTCAACGACTGCATCGCTTAGTGACGGACATCCCGGTGCCAACTGTGATCCCCAGCTGAGAACTGCCCATATGTGTGTGCGTGTGTATATATGTATGTGCGTGTGTGTGTATGGATATGCGCGCACACATACATGCCCATACACAGAATACCTGCGTATCCATCCACGGTCTCTTTCAGCCTGAGTTGCTCCACATTTATCTTTGCTGTCGAAAGATTTTTTTTTTTTGTTAATTTGATTTATATGCCGCCCTTCTCCGGAGACTCAGGGCGGCTTTCAGTGCGTTAAGCAATAGCCTTCATCCTTTTGTATATTTATACAAAGTCAGCTTATTGCCCCCACAAACTGGGTCCTCATTTTACCCACCTTAGAAAGGATGGGAGGCTGAGTCAACCTTGAGCCTTGGCGAGATTTGAACCTGCAGTAATTGCAAGCAGCTGAATGTTAATAACAGGGTGCTTTAGACCACTGTACTACCAAGGCTCATTCCTGCAGACCCTCCTGTCCAGCCTCCAAGGGGCCACTTCCCACCGACTTCCTTCCCTCGGGTGGGCAGGCGGGGAGGGGGGAAGAGCAGCTCTCTTCCCCCCTCCCCACTTCACAGGGTCCTCTTTCGTTCTGCTGTCCAGGGGAAACAGGAAGAGAACGACGTGGTGGAGAAACTCAACCTTTTCCTGGACTTGCTACAGTCTTATAAAGTGAGTCCGGAGTTCAGCCCACCTGTGGGGGGAGGGGGGGAGAGAAAGGCTGGGACACGGCTGGGGGCTGGAGGGGAAGCGGGAGGGTCCGAGACAGGAGAGTCAAGGAATGAAAATGGTGAAAAATGGATGGATGGAGATAGATAGATAGAGAGAGAGATAGAGAGATAGAGAGATACTATAGATAGATAGAAATACAGATGGAGATGATATTGATGATAGATAGATAGATAGATAGATAGATAGATAGATAGATAGATAGATAGAGATAGAGAGATAGACAGGGATAGATAGATAGATAGATAGATAGATAGATAGATAGATAGATAGATAGAAATACAGATAGAGATGATATTGATGATAGGTAGACAGACAGATAGACATAGATAGAGATAGACTGATAGATGATAGAGGAAGAGATAGACAGATAGACAGGGGGAGATAGAGAGATGGATGGGTGGGTGGATGGATGAAAATAGCCTACTGATAAAATTACAGAGAGATGATATTGATAGATAAAAATACAGATAGAGACGATATTAATGATAGATAGAAATACAGAAAGAGATAAATTGATAGACAGAAATACAGATAGAGATGATATTGATAGACAGACAGACAGCGATAGATAGACATAGACTGATAGATGAGAGAGAGAGGAAGAGATAGACAAAGGTAGAGATAGGCAGGCAGACAGACACGATAAAGAAAGAGGTAGACATAGACAGACCTAGACCTAGACCTAGATGGATGAATGGATGGAGAAGCTAGAGAGATCTAGAGAGAGCTACAGTAGGTAGAGCTAGAGAGAGAGAGAGAGAGAGAGAGAGAGAAATTGGCCCCCTTATGTCCCCTGCTTCTTCTGCCTGCGTTGCAGGATCTGTGCGAGAGGCACGAGAAGGGCGTGTTGCACAAACACCAGCGGGCTCTGCACAAATACAGCATGATGAAGAAGCAGATGATGAGCGCCACGGTGCAGAACAAGGAACCCGAGTCGGTGGAGCAGCTGGAATCCCGGATTGTGGAGGTAAGAGTCTCTCAGCTCTTCTGAACCCCGGCTGGCCAACCAGGGGGAAGGCGCAGATCGACCTTTCTGCATCCTGAAAGTGATGGGGTTTCGGGGTTTATTTATTTATTTTTGATTTAAAAAAAAAAACACCCCAGAAAGTTGGGGGACATGTTTAGTCCTCTTGGCAGTGATAAGTGTCCAGTGAAGTTGGTGAAGGCGAAACAACAATCTTGGAGAGTTTTTCTGAGGCATCTGGGATTGGGGAAGAAGATGGGGGGGCTGGGGACGAGGTCTTGGGTGGAGATGATAGCTTGTGGTGTCTCTCCCAAGCTCTAGTTTAATCTCCCTTCCTCTTTCCTTCTCCTTCTCCTCCTTCCCTTTCTTCTCTGTCTCCTTTTTCCTTTCCCTCCTCCTCCTCCCTCTTTCTCCTTCCCCTCCTTCCCTTTCTTCTCTTTGTCTCTTTCTCCTTCCTCCTCCTCTTCCCCTTCTCCTCCTCTCCCTTCCCCTTCTTCACTTCTGTCCCTTCTCCTCTCCTTTTCCTTCTCCTCCTTTTCCCCTTCCTTGTCCATTTTTCCCTTCCCTTCCTTCTCCTTCTTCTCTTCTGTCCCCTTTTTCCTCTCCTTTTCCTTCTCCTCCTTTTCCCCTTCCTTGTCCCTTTTTTCCCTTCCCTTCCTTCCCCTTCTTCCCTTCTGTCCCCTTTTTCCTCTCCTTTTCCTTCTCCTCCTTTTCCCCTTCCTTGTCCCTTTTTCCTTCCCGTTCTTCTCTTGTCTCCTTTTTCCTTTTCTTTTCCTTCTCCTTTCCCTCCTCCTCCTCCTCCTCCTTCCCTTCTGTCTCCTTTTCCTCCCACTTCCTCTTCCTCCTCCTCCCTCCTCTTCTCCTCCCCCTCTTTTCTTCTCCTTCTCCCCTCCCTTCTCCTTCCCCTCTTTCTCTCCACCCACCCTCAGCAAGAGAACGCAATCCTGACCATGGAGCAGCGTAACTACTTCTCCCTCTACTGCCTTCACCAAGAGACTCAGCTCATCCACATTTACCTTCCTCTCACCTCTCACATCTTGGGGGCCTTCGTCAACTCGCAGATCCAGGGCCACAAAGAGGTGAGTTTCCTTCCAGGCAGTGTGTGTGTCCGTGTCCACCAGCTGGCATGTCTCTTGCGAGATATACAGAAATTATCACCATGTCAGTTAATACTTCGTTGGGTAACCTTTAGCATGAATTATGGCCTTACAACATCTTCCCATGGAGTGAACCAAGTCTTTTATTCTGCAGCTATTCTAATGTGAAACCAAGATTGAAGGATTGTTTCTATTAACTGGGTTTTATAGCTGGGTCGCTTCTGACTAACAAGTTTCTTTAGTCGGCTCCATAGATTTTCTTTTCTTTTTTTTTTTTTTTCAAAAAAGTTTTTCTTTTTATTTCTCATAAACATATTTACATGTACAGTCATTGATCCACCATTTTTCCTTCATCTTATCTTTTAACTTTCATTTTTAATTCTTACTTATTAAATAGCTCCATAGATTTTTCGGGTGAAGGTCTGGGCTATTCCCAGGCCATTCCAGCAGTGGAATTAGGATCCTCTTGAAACTCCAAAAAAAAAAAGTGGTGTTATTAGCCATCAAACCTCAAAAATACACTTTTCCCAAAAAGGTTTCCACAATTTTGGCCACCCGCTGTCAATGTTGGAGGGCATCTTCTGTAGATGTTTCCTCGCTCTTCCGTTGACCGCTTCTGCCTCTCTTTTTTCCTTCCTGCAGATGAGCAAAGTCTGGAACGAACTGAAACCCAAGCTGAGCTGCCTCTTTGCGGGAAGCAGCGACGTCTTGATGCTCCCCTTGTCTGCTCAAGAGGACAATTTCCTTCCCAGTTAATGTTTTTGGGATTCAGGATGGGAGGAGCTGGAAGGAAGGGGCTGCTCCTCATGACACTTAACCGTACCTGTCCAGGTATTCTTCTCTTGGCAAATCCTAGCTTTGCCTCCTTAAGAGTGTTCTGCCCCAGCTACGGGTCCCAAGAAACATAGCACACACACACACAGCTCCAAAAACTCCGTTTAATACAAACAGACCCCTTTCAAAATGCAGGCTTTAACCACCAATGTCCTTATCAGCCTGCTATGAATTACAGAGATTAAACAAAAGTCCGACAAGGGTTGGCAATCAGCCCAGAAACCAAGTTGTAACAAAAAAACTCACTCTCAAAATGCTCCGCGTAGGACCAAACGTCATTTCCAGCAACGTTTGCTATCTGTGTGCGAACTTAAATAGGCTAAGGGAGTGGCCAATTAACCCCAAACCTTATTCTCGAGGAGACCTCCTCCTCCTCCTGAGTAGGCACTCCTGCCTTTTGGCAGCCCTGCGTGCTCGAGCATTGAGGAGAGGCTCCTCCACTTCACTCTCTTCACTCGAAGGAGCCTCTGGAGGTTCTGAAGGCACAGGCTGAGTCTCTGCCTCTGGCACCACATCCTCTTCAGCCTCCTCGCTGTCCGACGCGAGCACCGGCTGCATAGGCTGCTGGCACAACACCACACCAGCCTCCTCGTCGTCGGGATCAGCCACAATCCGCGCAGGCCGCTGGCGGGCCACAACAAAGAGCGTGATTTGAGTGTGTGTGTATGTGTGTCCCATAATCTCCAGTATGTAGTGATGTGGGGTTTTTTTCCCCCCTCAAAGACTCTCTTTTGTGTTTTCGTGTCATTTTTAACGTCAACTGTGAAGGCTCAACAACAGCCCTCGGGGCAGGTTTGGGGATGACGGCCTGCTCCCCTGTCAAAAGTGACAGATGGGCTTGAGTGGCCACCTCCAACTCCAGGAATAAAACCCATCATTTCATGGGGATTAAGGGCAGGGCAGCAAATATATGCACCATCGATTAAAGGGGCACCGAGTTTCCTTAAAGAGCATTCTGAGTGAAGCGACCATCGTGAAGTTTTTTTCCCCTCTTATTTTGTTTTGAAAAGCCAGATGTTTCAATGGAACAGAAGCGTAACTTTAGGGACATGTATGCTTCAGCATTAGTTGGGTGGCAATGCGACTCCGCGCCACGTAAGAAATGGCCAGCTGCCTCACAGAGGACTAGACTCATGAATTCATCTCTCAAAACACACTTCCAGCATCTCAACTTTCTTAGAACTACGGGTACTTCTGTAGTTCTGACTTATGCCAGCTCGTTTAATGGCCGCTTGGACGGACTTTCGAAAAGCCATTTTTAATGATGTAGCAAACCTCGTTTAACAAGAAGTGATATGTGACAGACCAAACCCAAATGGCTTAACACTGTTTACCCAGATCTGGTACACCCAGGAGCACATTTCAACAATATGCTGGCTTACAGACGCCGGAGAGTAGCTGGCATCTGACCAGCTTTCAAAGGCAAGTTTGTGTCCAGCATTTGCATAAGTCAGTCCTTCTCACGTGTATACCTCATACCTACCTTCCTTTTGAATGAACGCAAACCCAGGAGTTTTAAGAGATGGGATGTTCTACATTGCTCTGGCTGGCCCCTTGCTCTGGCTTCCTTCCTTCCTTCCTTCCTTCCTTCCTTCCTTCCTTCCTTCCTTCCTTCCTTCCTTCCTTCCTTCCTCCTCCTTTCCCAAGCTATAGCAGACTTATATCCCATTTCACAGTGCTTTTACAGCCCTCTCTAAGCGGTTTACAGAGTCAGCCTCTTGCCCCCAACAATCTGGATCCTCATTTTACTCACCTTGGAAGGATGGAAGGCTGAGTCAAGTTCGAGTCGGTCGGGATCGAACTCCTGGCATTGGGCAGAGAGAGCCTGCAACACTGCATTGTAGCAACTGCACTAGTGGTGAAATCCAATTTTTTTTTACTACCGGTTCTGCGGGCATGGCTTGGTGGGCGTGGCAGGGGAAGGATACTGCAAAATCTCCATTCCCACCCCATTCTGGGGCCAGCCAGAGGTGGTATTTGCTGGTTCTCTGAACTGCTCAAGATTTGCACTACAGGTTCTCCAGAACCTGCTGGATTTCACCTCTGAATGGCACCACTCTGGCTTCCTTCCTTCCTTCCTTCCCAAGCAATAGCAGACTTATATACCACTTCACAGTGCTTTTACAGCCCCTTCTAAACCGTTTACAAAGCCAACCTCTTGCCCCCAACAATCTTGAGTCCTCATTTTACCCACCTTGGAAGGATAGAAGGCTGAGTCAAGTTTGAATCGGTTGGGATCGAACTGCTGGCAGTGGACAGAATCAGCCTGCATTACTGCATTCTAGCCACTGCGCCAACAAGGAAAGAAGGAAGGAATTGGCTAGGGAATTCTGGGAGTTGAAGTCCACAAGTCTTAAAGGGGGCAAGATTGAGAACCTCGTCTGTAAAGCTTACTTCGTAGCATCCCTGGGACATATTCCTTCTCCTGTCCATTCGTGTTCCTCGTCAAAGCTATCCAAAGCTTGGCTGAAGGTGTTGACCAGCTAAACACAGTGCCTTATTCCAATATAGGTTTTTAAACCTCTAGACAATCGTCTTACTAATCAAAATGAACCTGGCTTAGCTTCAGAATCTTGGTGAAGTTAGCCAGGGGTGACCAGCCCTGATGTTTGTGCCTTGTTAAATAAATAAATAACAGCTGTAAAAAGCTTGTTCTGCTGGATTAAAAAAAAATATGCTACAACTGCTACAAGAAAAGTCATCTCTTCTTTATTTTTGAGGAAGATCTATTTAAAAGTGGGACCACGCAACTTTTTTTTTAAAAAAAAAGCAAGATAATTAAGGCTTCAGGACCAAAGAAGCCACCTGAAGGGACTAAACGCCAAATTCTCAGGAAAACAAATTTTTGTCTTTTTTGTGTTTTCCAAGTCACGTCTTTGGTTTGGGAGGTGGGTGGGCTTCCTCCAGCCTCCTGGCATTTAATCTGACATTTGTAAAAGAGTGTCCGCTTTGCAAAAAGTATTGTTTTTTTTTTTTTTTTAAATGAAGCACTTTATTAAATGGCAGAATGTCTTTAATTCCCACTTGGTAGACTTTAATACATGTTTAAGGAGTCTGACATCCCCAGGCCCCCTGCCCGAAAAGTTGCAAAAAAAAAGATCTATTTGTAAGAAGAGAAATTTGTAAAACTCTATTAAAAGTTTGAAAGTTTATTTTGAGTTGAACGCATTTATTGCAACGTTGTACGATCAAAGCGTTTTTCTTCGTGGTATGGAGGATGTCCAAACATTTCTTCTTCTGGTTTGACCATATTTTCCCATAATTTAGTATCCTCTGGTCACGGGACACATTTCTGTACATGAACAAGTAGTTTTGAGAGGGTTTTTTTCCCCCTCTCCTAGAAAGTCAACAAACAATGAATTTGGCAGAAGAATTGTTTTGCTACAGAGCTGGCAGTGGTTCCTTCCCTGCCAGAATGTCCTTTATGTCTCTGTCAGGAAATCCTTCTTCCATCTTCTCCACCTCTTTCAGGGTATATTCCAAGATAGTCTCCTGCCCCTGAAACTTAAAATAGCCCAGGAAATATTTTTTGTGGAGCAGAAGAGGAAACCAATAGATATCATCCGGCCACATCTCCTTGAAAGGGATCTGGTCCATGTCAAACCACTGAGGGCGCATTTCTGCAACGGGAGAGAAACGAAGTACAGCTGGGTCTTGACTTCTGACCACAATGGGGGGGGAGGGATTTCTGTTGTTAAGCAAGGTGGTTGTTAGAGCGAGTCACGCCCAATTTTATGACCTTTTTTTTTTTTGCCATGGCTGCTAAGTCAATCACTGCGGTGGTTGAATCATGAGGTTGTTAAGTGAATTTGGCTTCCCTGATTTTGCTTGTTGGAAGATCACAAATGGAGATCATCCCTCTCTCTCTCCCCCCCCCCCCCCCCCCCCCCGGGGGGTGCAACACTTGTAAAGCTGCAATGATGATGTGATGGAACTTTGGGATAAGTGCAGAGAAGAGCAACTAGGTTCTAGTTCCTATGATGATTAAAGAATAGAATAGAATAGAATAGAATAGAAGAATAGAATAGAATAGAATAGAATTCTTTAGTGGCCAAGTGTGATTGGACACACAAGGAATTTGTCTGGTGTATACGCTCTCAGTGTACATAAAAAGACAAGATACATTCGTCAAGAATCATAAGGTACAACACTTAATGATAGTCAGGATACAAATAAGAATAGAATAGAAAATAGAATAGAACAGAACAGAACAGAACAGAATTTTTTATTAGCCAAGTGTGATTTGACACACAAGGAATTTGTCTTTGGTGCATATGCTCTCGGTGTACATAAAAGATACATCATCAAGAATCATAAGGTACAACACTTAATGATAGTCATAAGTACAAATAAGAATAGAATAGAATAGAATAGAATAGAATAGAATAGAATAGAATAGAATAGAACAGAACAGAACATATTTTTTTATTGGCCAAGTATGATTGAACACACAAGGAATTTGTCTTGGTGCATAAGCTCTCAGTGTACATAAAAGATACATTCATCAAGAATCATAAGGTACTTAATGATAGTCAAAGGCTTGGAGACTAAAACATAGGAAGAAGAGTTGCAGGAACTGGATCTGGCTAGTCTAGGGAAAAGAAGGACCAGGGGGGACATGATAGCAGCATTCCAGTATTTGAGGGGCTGCCCCAAAGAACGGTGTGTGTGTGTGTGTGTGTGTGTGTGTGTGTGTGTGTGTGTTCTACCTATTCTCCAAAGGATCTGAAGGCAGGACAAGAAGTGACGAATGGAAACTAATCAAGGAGCAACTTGGAATTAAGGAGAAACTTCCTAACAGTGAGGACAATTAACCAGTGGAATAGAAATTGCCTCCAGAAGTTGTCGGGGCTCCATCACTGGAGCTTTTTAAGAAGAGACTGGACAGCCACTTGTCTGGAATGGGATAGAGTCTCATGCTTAAGCAGGGGACAACTAGAAGATCTCCCGGATGCTCTATTCTGATCGATTGAACCCTGCCAGTGTGATACACTACAAACAAAACCCACAGTGGCAGCTTGGATCATATGATGATGGATGGAGGTCAGCTTGACTGTGCTGACCAGATCTTGCAGGCTTCCCTAACTCTGCTATCGCTCCCGCCCGGTTTCCTACCGTCACTTTCGGTGGGGTCTCCGTGGAAACTGTCGGTGCGAAAGATATGGACTTCCATCAGCTCCGCGTTGCCTACAAACTCAAAGGTAATCTGGCCCATTTTCTGTAAGGTGTCCACGGTCAAGCTGCTCTCTTCCTGAAGCTCCCTGAAAGTAAGAGAATAAGAGAATCTGCAAAACTGGAGATTTTGGTTCATAGGTTCCTTCTCAACCCTGGGCGTTTTCCTCAGTGTTGGTCCTAGCTCTGCATTCCTGCATTTTAAACCGTTTCCTTTGGAAGGACAACAGGATAAGGGTGACCTACTTTTAATACAGATAGCTCTCGACTTAGGACCATTCACTTAGTGACTGCTCAAAATTATGACACCACTAAAAAAAACTGACTTGCTTAACAATGGAAATTCTGATCCCAATTGGAAGCAAATACTGTGAGTTTAATGAATCTTAAATATGCATGGAATCCAAGCAGTCTTTTAATAATCATATAGTGTAGGTCCATGCCTGCTGTTCATTGGTGAAATATTCTTGTTTGTCATGGCTGTGAGGCCCAGGGCAGTACGACTGCATCTGATCTCTGTCATCTTTCTTCCTTTCTTCCTTCCTTCCTTTCTTTCTTTCTTTCTTCTTTCTTTCTTTCTTTCTTTTTCTCTTTCCTTCCTTCCTCTCTTTCTCTTTCTTTCTTTTGCTTTCTCTCTCTTTCTTTTTTCTTTCTCCGTCAAACAAAAATTACAAATTCGAGCGAACAAAATGAACAAACTAAAATGTGACAGGGACGCTTGACACATTAGTGCACTTACGCATGTCCTTTTAGGAACTTCTTAAATACGGGGCGAGGTCCACAGAAGTCAAGTTAGAACGAAAGGAGTGAAAATCAGTAGCTGAGACAAACTGAATCGGGTGAAATATTCCAGACTTTGACACCACCCAGGGAGCACGTGTAGCTTAAGGGATGCTACGGACGCCGGTGCCTTTTGCTTTGAATTGTGCGTCTGTGTTTACTTCTCTTTGTCACGTTCTCATCATGCGCTAAATAATAATGGGTGAAATGACTCCCAGGGGACGAAATGCAGTGAATCCGCACCCATTCGTGGCCCCTCCCAAAACATTCCCTGAAGTCATTGCACCAATTTTTAATTTAATAGAGCTCAGCATCTAGGTGAGTCCCTCTGCTCAGCTGATGATTGAGTTAAAAAAAACCCAAGTCAAATCAAAAGAAAAGAAAAACACCCTCCATCCAGCATGAATCATCCCAACTCCGTTTGAAGTAGAAGCGGAGCAAGTCACAAGGGCTGCATTGTGCAATTCCAAAATTGCAATCACGAGCCTCTTCCAAAGAATTGGAGAAGACCGGCTGTGGACACCTTCGGTTGTCCTCTCACCTTCGGGCTGCCTGCTCCACTGTCTCCCCCAGCTGCACCTTTCCCCCAAAGCCGTTCCAGAGGCCAGCCCCGAAGCCGCGCTTCTTCATGCCCAGCAGGACGCGCTGAGGCTGCATCACCAGCACCAACGTGTAGAGTTTAGTCGTCAGCATGCTGCACCCTAGGTCAAGAAGTGGGGAGGGGAAGCATCAAGGGGCAAATCCACAGAAATCCTGCAGGAAGCTCCGGCAGAGGGCAGAGGTTGCTGGTGCTGTGTGTTGCAAGTGGGATAGTACATGGCCAAAAAAGACAATCTGGAAACAGCACTGGAAAAAGGCAGGCGTCTGGAGCATCTTTAAATGCTCCAATATATTCTACTTCATCCAAGTGCAACATGCTGGGGAGGGAGGGAGGGAGGAAGGAAGGAAGGAAAGGTAAAATGAGAGTTAAAGGAAGGAGAATGTGAAAGATGGAGGGAGGGAGGGAAGGAAGGAGGTAAAAGATGAAGGAATGTGTGAAAGGGAGGGAGGGAGGGAAAGAGGAAAGGAAGGAAGGAGAAAGAAAAAATGAGAGTGATAAAGGAAGGAGAGTGTGAAAGATGAAAGGAGGGAGGGAAGGAATTTGGTAGTACAGTGGTTTAAAGAACCCTATTATTAACACAGCTGCCTGCAATTACTGCAGGTTCGAATCTTACCAGGCTCAAGATTGACTCAGCCTCCCATCCTTTCTAAGGTCCATGAACAGTGGACTAAAGCACTGTTATTAACATCTGCTGCTTGCAATTACTGCAGGTTCGAATCTCACCAGGCTCAAGGTCGACTCAGCCTTCCATCCTTTCTAAGGTGGGTAAATTGAAGACCCAGTTTGTGGGGGCAATAAGCTGACTTTGTATAAAATATACAAAAGTATGAAGGCTATTGCTTAGCGCATGGTAAGCCACCCTGAGTCTCCGGAGGAGGGCGGCATATAAATCAAATTAAAATAATAATAATAATACTAATTTTAAAAAAACTTTAAAAAAAAACGATGCAGAAAGATGCAAAAGGGCAACAACCGTGATGCAAAAACCCTGCACAGAAGCTAGCAAAGCCCTGGATCTTCTCTGCTAACAAAATAGTGGGGGGGGAAGGAAGGAGACCCAGCCCAGGCCTTGCACAGAGGCGACCCTCCCCAACGCGATCCAGGCAAACCTGAAAAGGAACGAAGCGCGTCTCAGGTGCAATTAAAAACAAACCAACCAAGTGCAGGGCAACGGAACGTAGGAGACGGAGCGGCGTTTCCGGGGGGGGGGAGATGATTGTGGGTGACGGACGCGGTGCAACCCGAAAAGTGTCCCCCCAGATCCCGGAAGTGGCGGGAGAAACCATGAGCCGGTGAGTGGCGTTGAAGGCAACCCCCCCCACTCCCAATTCCTGCGCCCATGGCTCGAGGCTGGGGGGGGGCGGGCGCGGGGGGCGGGGGTCTCCCGAATTGAGGCTTGCCGAGGAGATTCCCACGCCCCTTGTCCTTGGGGAAAGGCTGAGAAGATGCCTTTTCATCACGGTGGTTTTGTTTTCAGCTCTTCCTCTTGTCTGTCCTGGTCGTTTCCCTAGAGCGTCACTCTTGGGGTGGGGGGGATTGTGGGAGTTGAAACCCAGACATGGGGGGCGGGGGGAAAGCATGGCTGGCTGGGGAATTCTGGGAGTTGAAGTTGCTGAGATTGAGAAACGCTGGTCCAGAAGATAACAGCAATTTATTTTCTTTCTTTCTTTCTTTCTTTCTTTCTTTCTTTCTTTCTTTCTTTCTTTCTTTCTTTCTTTCTTTCTTTCTTTCTTTCTTTCTTTCCCTCTCTTCCTCTCTTCCTCCCTCCTTCCCTTCCCTACCTTCATCTCTCTCTTCCTTCCTCTTTTTTCCTTCCTCCCTCCCTCCCTCCCTTCATCTTTTTCCTCCCTCCCTCCCTCTCCCCCTCCATTCCTTTCCTTTTCCTTCTTACCTTCTTCTCTCTCTTCCTCCTTTCCTCTTTTTTCCTCCCTCCCTCCCTCTTCCCCTCCATTCCTTTCCTTTTCCTCTCTTCCTCTCTTCCTCCCTCCTTCCCTTCCCTACCTTCGTCTCTCTCTTCCTTCCTCTTTTTTCCTTCCTTCCTTCCTTCCTTCCTTCCTTCCTTCCTTCCTTCCTTCCTTCCTTCCTTTCTCTCTCTCTCTCTCCTCCCTCCTTTCATTGAACCATCCATCCATCCTGCTCTTTTTATACCTGTTGCTAATTTTCAGCAATCCCACTGGTTTTTCTCCCTTGCAGACATCGGATGCTGTCCACCATTTTGCTCCAGATCCAGAAAATCCACACAACGGAGCAACACCTGAAATCCAAAACCGGTGCAGAACATCGCTGGCTGGAGAGACATTTCCGAGATCCATTTGTGAAGAGAGCCAAAAAGAGGAACTATCGTTGCCGAAGTGCCTTCAAATTGCTGGAGATCGATGACAAACACCACCTCTTTCGGCCTGGGCTGCATGTCCTCGACTGTGGGACGGCCCCTGGAGCCTGGGCTCAGGTGGCCGTTGAAAGGGTTAATGCCACAGGATCTGGTGAGTGGACGCCTAAGGCTGCTGCGTCTGGTTTGCAACCTGTTCTAAGACAGCCATACTGTGGTTTGGTTAGCTTGGGATCGTGTCACCTGAACTCCCTGTAGTTTTACTTTTTGTCTCAATCATGGCTTCTGATCCATCATTCTCCACTGCAAGGGCATATGGGCAGAAATATGGATTGGGTGGAGAAAGAGGGACTGGTCCAAAGTCACCCAGTTGGCTTTCATGATTAAAGAGGAACTAGAACTCACTGTCTCCTGGTGATTGGTGCCAAAGTCACCCAGCTGGCTTTCATGACAATATGGCAGAACTAGAACTCACCATTTCCTGGTGATTGGCACTGAAGTCACCCAGCTGGTTTTCATGCTTAAGGCAAAACTAGAACTCACAGTCTCCTGGTTTGCAGCCCAGTGCCTTAACCATTACACCAATCTGGTTTTTAGTTCCGTATTCATCCCTTTGCTTTAAAGTTCTGTATGGCTTCCCATTTTTCAATTCTAATTTTTGATTTAATGCCTATAAAAGGTTCATTCCACCGAATTTCCCCAAATAACTTTCTGACATAACTCCATCCTAACTGCCTTTTTGCTCTTTACATTTTAAAATCACTTCCTTGTTACGTTTGGAATTTTGTTTCTCTTTTCTTCTGCTTTTTCAAAACCTCACATTTTTCTTAGCCTGAGTTCTTATTTCCCACCATAACCATAGCCAGTGCTAGAATAGAGTGGTCTGTATGGCACTTACCACAGTTCATTTAGTGCAGTGTTTCTCAACCTTGGAAGCTTGAAGATGGGTGGACTTCAACTCCCAGAATCCCCCAGCCAGCAGTGCTGGCAAATTGTAAAATGGAGCAAAGTTCACTTAACAAATGTCTCACTTAGCGACAAAAATGTTGTTGTCGTAAGTCAAAGACTGCCTGTATTATCTACCAGCTTTGTCCCTCTTAGGATCTACTTTTGGCCTCTCGGGGGGAAAAAAAGTTACATATTTTATGATTATAATGACATCACCACAATCCCAAACTGGGAAGGGGCCTGTCTTAAGTTGTCAATAAACCCAGAGATCATGATTTTAAAAAGAGGAAGCAAAATGCCTTCTTTGTTTTTGCAAATCCTACCTGTTTTATGGCATTTTGAGCAAATTAAATCCACACAGCAGCTTTGATTAGGAAGCAGCTGGAATATTTCAAATTTTCAGGTTTTTTTTTTCATTCCTTTTTCCTCTGCTTTATGGGAGTGGGATGGTGAGGGAGGGAGATGCCTCAGACTTCATAATGTATCATAAAGTGTGATTGTTTTAGATCTGCCTATTTATATTAATCTCCTTCTATCCAATAAATATTGCCAAGCATGGTTTTTTTCCCCTCAAGTATTGATGGTACATGGCTAGAGAAATTCTTCCCTCCATTTGAATATGCAATTTCTTATCTCTAGGCTTCATTTTAATATCGTGGGTTTTCCCTCTGGGAAATGATAGCGAGAGGAGTCTCGAAAAGCCTCAATTTAATTAATTAATGTCAGGCAAAAGTGCCCTGACAGCAGAAAACGTTACTGTTGGCTAACTCTGGAGTGGTTTGACGACAGTACAAGACAGTGATTGATGACGAAGATTTCTGAATTATTGATCCTTACAGAAAGCCTTGCTCATAAAAAAAAAAAACAAATCCTGCTGGTTAGGAAGGTGCTAAAAATAAAATGATAGAATTGATTAAGAGGCTGCTCGTGGGTGACTTTCGGTAATTTTTTTTTAAAAAAAATGCCACGTGTAGGGAATGCAAAGTGGATTTCCTATTTTCCTTGCCAGCCCTGTACATAGAGAGAAGCTCTGTTTTGGACAGAGTTCACAGATTTTGCTAAGTCATAAGGTGGCTTATTGAGTTCTGCTTTTTGATAAACTCTGGTTTATTGGCTCAGTGCATGTGTGAACCATCCAACGATGGCTTGTACAATATACATAGCTAAGTCCCAAAGGTGCTTTTCAAGAGGCAGCTGGACTTCCTTGCATTTTTTTTTTCCTTGAAAATGTTTTGCTTCTCATCCAAGAAACCTCTTCAGTTCAGCTTCTTGGATGAGAAGTGAAACGTTTTCAAGAAGAAGAAAAAAACACCAAGAAAATCCAGTTGCATTTGGAAAAACACCTTTGAGAACAAACATGACTTGGATGATTGAGAATGTCCACAGACACATAACTAACAAAATCTTAGCTTAATATAGTGTGTAAACCTAGCCAGGAAGGTCACTCAATACTTCTACGTAATAAGTAAGGGAGTAACAGAGGTCTGTGTTATTATCCCTGGGAAGAATACATCTGTTCTGCCCTACTCACACTTTTCGGCTTGAACAATCAGTAAGTAGATCATTGACTGCTTGGCATTTCATCGTTTCTAGAAACTGGGAAACAGCTTTCTGTTAAAAAGTAAGAATCCGACTTATGCAGAGCCTTTTAAAAAAAAAGATTTATTAACGTAGCATTACTTCTGGGTATTAGTGTACGTTAAGGTTCCCTCAAGCCACCGTTACAATGACCGGTGGATTAGTAGATGTATCGGTCTTGTTCACTTGATAATTCAGGGAGTGCGGGTGCCTTTAAAAGCAATTATGGGCCTCACTTGCCCCATAAATTTGCCTATCGGTGGCTATTATGTGATTTCTAGGATCCCAGGCAATATGTCATTATACAACAGCTCCTGGAGGAGGACCCTCGAGTGAATGATTTTATCTTTATGTCCTGGTGCTCTTTTCCTCATAAAAATGTCAGAATGTACTTGCCCTTGTATTGGTCATCAGTGTACTGGCAGTTTAAAAAAAAAAGGTGGGGAGGGGGAAACGGCCCAGGAATATTGTTTTCTTCCTGGAATTCTGACTAAGCATCACGTGTGTCTTTTTGTGAGTGTTGATATCGTAATGAAATGTGAGAATAACCTTGGGGGGAGAAAGGGAAGAAATGCTGCCTAGAAGAAACATTTTTTTTTTAAATTTGATTTATATGCCGCCCTTCTCCGGAGACTCAGGGCGGCTTACAATGCACTAAGCAATAGCCTTCATACTTTTGTATATTTATACAAAGTCAGCTTATTGCCCCCACAATCCGGGTCCTCATTTCACCTACCTTAGAAAGGATGGAAGGCTGAGTCAACCTTGAGCCTGGCGAGATTCAAATCTGCAGTAATTGCAGGCAGCTGGTCTTAATAACAGGGTGCTTTAGACCACTGTACTACCAAGGCTAAGATAAGAGAGGCAGGAGCCCCCAGTTGCTTAACTGTCAGAGGAAAAAAACTTGGGAAGGATCCATCCTAATTGATTGGGGAAGTTTGTACTTTCAGATCTAAAAGAGTCTGTCGACATAGCCTTTAAAATAAAGTAGAATTAGCTTGTCTAGTCGTGTTTCTGTCTCGTTCATCTGGGTGGACCGACTAATATTTAGCACCGAGGTGTCAGAAGGAGCACGGTTTTCTTAACGTTTTCTCTCTTAACAGTTCTTCTTAGAACAGTTCTTCCGCCCGCAGAGGAAAAATCCGAATACCGTTTGCCTCAAACGCCAAACATTATCTCCAAATTGACTTACGCGGGTCACGTTCGTTTAATGAGTTGATATCCAGTAGAAAGTCAGAAAATGGGGGCTAACTGAGTAAATCTGAGGTCTCCGAAATTGACAACTTTAAGACTTGTGGACTACAACTTCCTCAATTCCCCCAGGCAGCCATGTTGGCTGGGGAATTCTGGGCATTGAAGTCCACAAGTCTTAAAAGTTGCTAAGTTTGGACAGTTGTAAACTGTGGATGAGTTAACTAGCTAAAGACTCCGGGGCTTCTTTAAAGACCGATAAATGTATTGTAATCTGCTTTTTTTGTGTCCTCTAGACCCGAAACAACCTGTTGGCTTTGTCCTTGGAGTTGATCTTCTTCACCTGTTCCCTCTGGAAGGAGCGGTTTTTCTCCCTCACGCCGATATCACGGATCAGGGCACCCAAGAGGAGATCCAAACCCTTCTCCCGAAAGGAAAAGCGGACATTATCCTAAGCGACATGGCACCGAACGCAACCGGCATCCGGGAACTCGATCATCAAAAGTTGATTCACCTCTGCCTGTCCCTTCTGGATCTGGCCAGAGGCATTTTGCAGCCAGGAGGGATCCTGCTGTGCAAATTCTGGGATGGCAAGGAGAGCCACCTCCTCCGAAGCCGGCTGTTGCAAGACTTCCAGGAAGTGAAGACCCTAAAACCTCAAGCGAGCAGGAAAGAATCGGCCGAGACTTTTTTCTTAGCGAAAACCTACCGAGGTGTCTCAAATGTGCAGCAGAATAACCTTGAGTAGCTCCATGCATTCTGTGGAGCATCGCTTAGGATTAAAGCACCAGACACGGTTGCAACAATAGGTTGAATTTTCTGTTTGCGGGGTAGTGAATTACAGATTGAAATTTTGCAGGCTGGTGGTGAAGTGGGGTCCTTGGTGGTCTCTGAGCCTGATGGTTTTCCTCCAGACATTTCATGACCCAACTAGGGAACATCATCAGTGCAAGCGTCACTCCCTTCTGACACTGATGCTGTTCCCTAGTTCGGTCATGAAACGTCTACGAGAAAACCACCAAGCTCAGAGAGAATCAAGGGTCCTTGAGCTACAAATATTCCATAAACGCTGGAGAAGTTTGTGTACAGTGTTAATTATATGTTGTATAAATAAATAACCAATAGGACAAAATACAACCTCTCTGTTGTGTCCATTCAGGAAGAAACTGTTGTACGACTTCATTCCCAGATTAAGACACCTGGAGCCTCTCTCTAGCAACAGCTGCCGACAAAACCTTGCATGGAAAAAGATTATTTATTTATTGAAACGCAGCCTCTCCTCTTGAAAGAACTCCCAGGGCAACTTACGATCCATACACCAGCATAGCCTCAATGTAAAGCAGTATAAAATCACACAGAAACATTATGTAAACAAGGTAAAACAATGTAGCAATAATACAAAACAATACAAATGGTGTAAAAACAGTGTAAAACAGTGTAAAACAAGGTAACACAATACAAATAGTATAAAACAATACAAATAGCGTAAAAACTGTAAAACAATACAAATAGTGTAAAAACTGTGTAAAGCATTGTAAAACAATGTAATACAATACAAATAGTATGAAACAATCTAAAACTAAATGTAAAAATACAAATAGCATAAAAACTGTAAAACTGTAAAATAAGGTAACACAATACAAATAGTATAAAACAATACAAATAGCATAAAAACTGTAAAACAATACAAATAGCATAAAAACAGTGTAAAATAGTGTAAAACAATTTAATACAATACAAATAGTATAAAACAATCTAAAACTAAAACAATACAAATAGTATAAAAACAATGTAAAACAGTGTAAAACAATATAAAAACAATACAAAATTTCATAAAACCGTATAAAAACCATCAGCAATAAAAAAAACAAAAACAAAAGCCGAAAAACTCGGCGATGAAAGTTTTAATGTTATTTTTCCTCGAAAATAAAGACTTATTTCTCACCCCCCCTTTTTTGGGGGGGGTGGGAGAAATCCCCTCCTCCGCCAGAAGAGAGCGCCGCGCCTCCTCTTGATTTCTCGCCGCGCCTCTATTCCGAGCACTACGGCCGCCCTCTCCGCTCGCCCCCCCCCCGCCCAAAGCGAAGCAGCTGGGAAGACTTCTCGCCCGAGAGGCGGGGGCGAAATCTCGCGGGAGCTGGGCGGCGAACTCTCGCGACGCCTAGGAAGGAGGGAGGGAGGGCGGGAGAGCGAGCGAGCGAGCGAGCGGAGCTGGCCATGGCCGATTGGGGAGGGTGAGTGCGCGCGAGCGAGGCCGAGGGTGGTCACGTGGGTCCCGCGCGGGCGGGGCGGCAGAGGGCGGGCGGGCGGCGACCGGGGCGGAGGGGTCTCGTCTCGTCGCCTCAGGGACCCGGTTTTTGGGGAGGGCGGGCGGCTTAACGGGCTTCATCCCCCCACCGGCGTCGGTGTTTCCTCGAGCTGGAGAACGAGGCCCGAGACTCATGCCCCCCCCCCACACGGCTTCTTTCTCGGTTGGTGTGCCAAGAGTGCTCCTGGGCATGTACAGAGTGCCCTACCGCCCTTGCAGTCGGAGAGCAGACCACCTTCCCCTGCTACCTCCCCTCCGCTCGGGAGTCCCAACAGCAGGAGGTTCTGTTCCCATCACCCAAGTTTGCTTGGAGACACAACCCCGCCGCACACACAACAGACACAACCACAGGGACCAATTTGGGCAGAAAAGATAAAACTGGGATGGAGAGAAACGAATAGATCTGATTGCCTTTCGGTTTTGGGTAGCCGGAGTTGCTTGGATGGAATGGGGGAGCATAGGAAACTAATGCAAAAAAAAAAAAAAAAGTTGCATCAAGAGTACTACAAAACCCCTAAACTCCATGCAGGCAAGGGATGATGGGTTTGGAGCCAGGGTCTGAGCTGGGTCCCAGGATGGGGAAGGTGCCCCTGGCTCTGGCCTTTGTGGATCGGTTTCCTCTTCACTGTTTGTTCCTTTGCAGGTTGTGTTTTATTGATTTTGCTTCTGTGTTGTTGTTGTTTTTTGCAACACTTGGCTCCTTTTGTTTCCACTTGGGTTGTGTGATTGTTGTTCCAAAACTGGTTGAAACAAAAGTGGAAACGAAAAAGTGTTGCAAAAAAAAGAGAGAGGCAAACAAGGAAAGCCTTAAACACAACCTGCATAGGAGCAAGAAAGGAAGCTAACAAAAGTGTAAAAGGAAAAGATTAAAAAAAAAAAAAGAAACAGACATTTCTGATTTCTTTTCCAGCAAATGCATTAATGCTTACAACATTATTTTTTACTCTGCTGTTACAAAAAACCCTCTTTTTTTTCCTATGATCAAAACCACAAATCAAAAGTTCGTTTTCCCCCCATTTCGTGCAAAAAAATATAAAACATTTCCAGACAGCAGTAAGATTGGAGTCCTTGGTGCCCTCTGAGCTTGATAGTTTTCTTGCAGACGTTTAATGACCCAGCTAAGTAACATCATCAGTGCCAGAAGGGAGTTGGGATTGCAGAGAGGAGGGGGAGGAGGAGGGGGAGGACTGTGGGGGCCTTGGTGCCCTCTGGGCATGGTTGTTTTCTTGCAGACGTTTTATGACCCAACTAGGTAACAGCATCAGAGCTAGAAGAGAGTGGGGTTTTATGTAGTGGAAGAGGAGGAGGAGTTGGAGGAGGACTGGAGTCCTTGTTGCTCTCAGCTTCAGTGTTTTCTTGTAGACATTTCATGACACAACTAGGTAACATCATCCAACCGTGTTCGACTCCATAGTTGAACCCTGAGTTGCAAATACTCTCTTCTTTCGATAGCAGTTAAGGTATTTGCCATCTTTTCTCTAATCAAAGATGTCAGAATATTTTTTAAAAGCTCATTTGGAGGGCTACAGTTTGGGGGTGCGATAACTTGAAGTGCGTGAAGGGAAACGGCCTTATTTATTTATTTATTTATTAAAAATTCTTTTTAATTGCATGAACGGTAGAACTCGGATGCAGATGGAGGAGGCCGAGGCGAACACCACCGTCTTCTCCATCCTGAAGTCGTACAACAACTTCATGTCCCTCTCTATGGAGGAATCGTCTGTCCAAGATGCCCCACCGTCTCCTCCGGGCTCACTCCAGACAAACTACCAGCAAATGATGAAGGTGAGACAGTCTTCCTCAGTGGTCACACTCGGCAAACAAACCCATCACCAGATCCGAGGGTCGGCAACCTGCGGCTCTGGAGCCGCATGTGGCTCTTTCATCCCTCTGCTGCAGCTCCCTGTCGCTCAAAATATGCGTCACAACCGCCAATGTGCGACACCTGCCAGCATGTGATTTATTGAGCTTTTCGACCCCCGGTAGGCCAACCATGGATATAATCCAAGAAAGGAAAAGTTTCAGAAGAAAACAGAACGTTTAATTCAACTACATAGGCTAGTTTTGTGGCTGCTGTGGAAATAGTCAGGCACGGGGAAGGGTTTTGTGGCTCCCGGTGTTTTCTTTTCTGTGGGAAACGGGTCCAAATGGCTCTTTGAGTATTTAAGATTGCTGAGCCCTGACCTAATCCAAGCAAGCAAAAATTTAGCAAACTAAATAATGACATATATATATATATATATTATTTTTTTATTTATTTTTTAATTTGATTTATATGCCGCCCTTCTCCGGAGACTCAGGGCGGCTTACAATGCGTTAAGCAATAGCCTTCATTCTTTTGTATATTTTATACAAAGTCAGCTTATTGCCCCCACAAACTGGGTCTTCATTTCACCTACCTTAGAAAGGATGGAAGGCTGAGTCAACCTTGAGCCTTGGAGAGATTCGAACCAGCAGAAATTGCAGGCAGCTGTGTTAATGACAGGGTGCACTAAACCACTGTACTATCAAGGCTCTATACCCTGTTTCCCCCAAAATAAGACATCCCCTGGTAATAAGCCCAATCGGGCTTTTGAGCGCATGGCAATAAGGCCAAGCACTTATTTCAGGGTTCAAAAAAATATAAGACAGGGTCTTATTTTCGGGGAAACATGGTATTATAAGTACAGTGACTTATCAGCTTGCCCAGCCTGGGGTCTGTGCTCAGGCAGCAATTATAGGCTTCTCTCTTTCCCTCTTCTTCCCCTTGACCCCCTGTCTACACTGTTAATTTTTATAATTTTACTATGGTTTTTATGCTGTTTTAACTTTGGATCAAGAGCTGCCCGGAGATGGTTATAAGATGGGCAATTGTTTTAAGTAAATAAATTAATTGACTTACGTAGTTGTGATTTGGTCCCTATCCAGAAGGACGTGCATGTTTTACTTTGGAAGTGAACCAACAGAAAAACTAGCTTTTCTGCCCACCAAATATTTTGCCTATCTGAACTAGCTGATGCATCCCTACTGATGCTGATTTTGCTTTTTGCTAAATACACGAAACCAGGTGGAGCAGAGGCCGTCGTAGATTAGGTACCTATATCCCTGGGCAGAATATTGTCTACCCCTGGGTAGAGGGGTGGTGGAACTTGCTTGTAAAATGCTATAGGTTTAACTCTAGGCCCTCCCACCCCACACCCCCTCCAGAGCCGGAGGCATGGCAAGCCTTCTTCAACAGTTTCACGGGATTTACTGCTTGGTCTCTTTTTCCCTTTTGGCAACGGATCAGCTGGAAGAGCAGGCCGGGCAAATCCATTCGGGCACGCGGCTTTTGCAGATGGAACGGGAGAAAATGCAGATGGAATTAAGTCACAAAAGGGCTCGGATTGAGCTCGAGAAGGCAGCTAACCTGAACGCCAACAAATTTGAGGTGAGCTGGGGAGCCAGATTAAGGAGCTGGGATTCGGCATGGTCTCGGTGCGTTTGTAACCTGGCTTGTTTGAGTAGTTTGTTCTATCACTTTGGTTTCTATGGTTTGTAATCCACAGTTTACGATATAGGTCAGTATATAATTATTTAAAAGGGACACGGTGGCTCAGTGGCTAAGACGCTGAGATATGATAGAACCTAGTAAGTTGAAGGTCTCTACTGTTGATACTGTGTTGTCTAGTGTTGTAAGAGGTGGAAGTATCCTGGAATCCACCACCATTTCTACAGTTTTGAGTGTATTTTTTTTTTTTTAATTTGATTTATATGCCGCCCTTCTCCGGAGACTCAGGGCGGCTTACAGTGTGTTAAGCAATAGCCTTCATACTTTTGTATATTTTATACAAAGTCTGCTTATTGCCCCCACAAACCGGGTCCTCATTTCACCTACATTTGAAAGGATGGAAGGCTGAGTCAACCTTGAGCCTGGCGAGATTCGAACTTACTTTAATTGCAGACAGCTGGTGTTAAATTACACTGTTTAGTCTGCAGAGCTATCCAGGCTCCTATTTAGTTTATTTAGTTTATTGGTTCGATTTTATTTATTGGTTCGATTTATGTGTCGCCCTTCTCCAGAGACTCAGGGCGGCTTACAATGCATTAAGCAATAGCCTTCATACTTTTGTATACACCTACTTAGTAGGGCTTTCGGCCCCCCCTAAGCAGTATTCTTTTTTATACAAAGTCAGCTTATTGCCCCCACAAACTGGGTCCTCATTTTACCTACCTCGAAAGGAGGGAAGGCTGAGTCAACCTTGAGCCTGTTGAGATTTGAACTTGCAGTAATTTCAGGCAGCTGGTGTTACTTAACAGTGCTTTAGTGTGCTGCGCCACCAAGGCTCTTGGTGTTCAAGACTGTTTTGGTTGCACCCCAAGGCTAGTTGTTCAACCCCACTTCTGTATGCAGAATCATCGTTGTCTCGAATGAGACCGATCACTATCCTCACCATGTAGATGGTGAGGATAGAATCCGATCATCCTTGATGCTCCAGCTTATCATCTTGGGATAAAAAAAAAAAAAAGGCAGAATCAGGATACGGGCATGTTATATCTGGCATCTGTAAAGAGTTGAATTGGCAGCCGGACGTCGTGGGAATTGCCTCTGCCGAATGTTTTGGGGGCCAGAAGTAAAACGACGAGCGTGCATTTTATCTTGGAAAATGCTTCGAAGACGCAGGTGCTTCCCAAGAACGAATCAGCAGAAAAAAAACCAAACCTTGCCAAATAGAAGTGGTTTCCAGGTCAAACTTTAATTGAAGGGATACTGAGAATTATTCTACCCTTTCTCCAACTCCTGCCCAGAGAGCTGAGTCAGTCACGGAGATGCTTAAATTCCTGTTGTGGGGGTGGGGGAAACAGACACTCCCCCCCCCTCAAAAGGAAGGGCTATAACCCAGTTTAATTGCCTTGCTTGAGGTGGCATTTTGAGGAGTCCTGTGGAACCTGGGACTGGTTTGCATAATCCTCGTTTAGTATGCAAATCCGTAGCTTGTTTTGCTTTGATTAGCAGAGCAAATCAGCTACACACAGGCTTCCGCCAATCAATGCTAATCGATTCAAGTTGGAAGGAAATAAGGAAATCAGAAATGGAGATTGGATGGGAGGGAGGGAGAGGCTGACTCTGTAAACCGCTTAGAGAGGGCTGGAAAGCACTGTGAAGTGGGATATAAGTGCTATTGTTAAGTGGGAAGGAAGGAAGGAAGGAGCCACAGTGGTTAGAATGCAGTACTGCAGGCTCCTTCTGCTGACTGCCGGCTGCCTGCAATTTGGCAGTTCGAATCTCACCAGGCTCAAGGTCGACTCGTCCTTCCGTCCTTCCGAGGTGGGTCAAATGGGGACCCAGATCGTTGGGGGGACAAGAGGCTGACTCTCTAAACTGCTTAGAGAGGGCTGTAAAGCACTGTAAAGCGGTATATAAGTCCTGTGGCTATTGCTATTATCTCTACCAATAAATCAGTATGTTACAGGCAGAGTAACTGAGATGTGCCTTGATAACTTGGATAGCAAACTAGAAAATCAATGATTGTGAATCAAGACATTAGGGACATTCATAGATTATATCTTTCAAGAAGGATTGGCAGGTGAGGACTTTCACAGGTAAAGCAGACGGCGGAGAAGGAGAAACAACAGCATAATTATTCTAATTCTAAAGAATAAAGAATAAAAGAATTGTTCTGATTCTAAAGAGAAAGGAAGCTATTGGAAACCCGAAACTCTCAGATGGAAGGACTTCATCCCGAAATGCAATCTACCCGACTACAAAAAGCAACAGCTTGAACTGAGATTAGAACATTGGGAAACCGAAAACTGAAACGTTCCGTGGGTATTTTTTAAAATTAAAAAAAAATTGGGGGGGGGAAAGATACGGAAGGAAAATTGGCCTAAGTGGTTTAAGATGGTACATTAAAAAAAGGGGGGAAATGGAAAAGAAAGCTTTCGCTGCCCAAGAACAAGCATTACGCGCGAATCTTATCAAAGGAACAGTGGGGGAAAAAAAAAAGCCTTCGGATGGAAAATGGAAAAGCCGTTGATTGTGGTAAGGGTGAAAGCGGCGGACTGTATAATGGCTAGATGCAGCACATTTGCATGACAAAGCAAGCCACGATCAGGTTGGAAGGAGGCTACACCGGTCTTCCTGTAAAAAAGGGAGCACAGATTGACAATGGCACTCAACAAAAAGCATGGAATCAAGCTTCTGAAAATGACCTGAACCAAGATTTTTTTTTACAGGATTTTAAAGTTCAGACTGTGGAATATAACACACCAAAACATTGTGGGGATGCTCTCTGAGCTTGGTAAGTTTTTTTTTTTTTTTTGGCAAACGTTTCATGACCCAACTAGGTAACATCATCAGTGCTAGAAGAGAGAGGGGGGTTTCATCATCATGGCACAGATGGTATTATGTAGTTGGGTCATGAAATGCCCGCAATAAAACAGTCAAGCTCAGCGAGCCCAAGGACTCCACAGTCGTCTTCCTTTTCCACTCCACAAACCCCACTCCTTTCTAGCACTGATGACGTTCCCTAGCTGGGTCATGAAACGTCTGCAAGAAAACTACCAAGCTCAGAGAGCACCAAGGACCCCACACTCCTCCTCCCCCCTCCTCCTATCCTTTTTTCCTTCTCTCCTTCTCTTCCTCCCCTTCTCCTTCTCTCCTTTTCCTCCCTCCTCCTCCTCCTCCTCCTCCTCTCCTCCCCTTCCTCTTCCTCTTCCTCCTCCTCTTCTTCTCCACCTCTTCCTCCTCCTCCTCTTCCTCCTCCTCCTCTTCCTCTCCTCCTCCTCCTCTTCCTCTTTCTCTTCCTCTTCTCCACCTCCTCCTCTTCCTCTCTTCCTCTTCCTCTCCTCCTCCTCCTCCTCCTCTTTCTCTTCCTCTTCTCCTCCTCTTCCTCTCCTCCTCCTCCTCCTCCTCCTCCTCTTTCTCTTCCTCTTCTCCACCTCTTCTACTCTACAGTCCCCACTCCCTTCTAGCACTGATGATGTTCCCTAGCTGGGTCATGAAACATCTGCAAGAAAACCACCAAGCTCAGAGAGCACCAAGGACCCCACGGCTCAACCCTGAGCTACAAATATTGAGCTCTTCTATTGGTACACCAAACGTTAACTGTCACTGAAAAGAACTTTGACTTATTGACGTAGCCTTTCCATGATACAGAACGGGTGGTCCTTGACTTATGACTTGTAGCTTAGCAACCGTTGGAAGTTACGACAGGCCTACCTCGAGGGGTACGTAGACCCTACTTCTGAAGAGCCAGCCGTTACTTCCTTTGGTAGTGGTGATATTTTTTTTCTCCTAAACTTTCTCTCCTCGTCTTCTTTTTCCAGCGGGAAGCTGATCGTAATCAGGATCTCCTTAAGCGCATCAAGCAGTGCCAGGAAAGGGAAACCGAGGCGAAAAATGCCCTTCAGGAACAACTCAAGACCAACAAGACCTGCCAGAAGGACATGGAGGCCCTGAACAAGAAGCTGCAGGAGAAGGAGACCAAACTGACTGAGGCGAACGAAGTGAGGGCCGAGCCGTTGATTTGGTGAAAGTGTCTTTGATTTCATTTTGGAGCCTACAGGGGTGATGCTCCAGATAACTTTTGTGTTGCAGGAGTTAGGTGACAGTTAAAAACAAAAAAAACACTGAGTGGTCTCTTTTCCTTGAAATGAAGGGCAGCATCTTCTAATGCTTTAAGGCTGGGACAGCAGAAGTTAAGAAGCTGCAATCGTTAAGCAATTCCAGAGGGAGAATCCTTGGGGGGCATAAATAAGAATAATTTGACAGTTTGAAATAAGGAGAAATTTTCCTGACAGTGAGAACAATTAACCAGTGGAACGACTTGCCACCAGAGGTTGTGGCTGCTCCAACACTGGAGGTTTTTTAAGAAGAGACTGGACAACCATTTGTCTGGAACGGTATAGGGTTTCCTGCTTGATCGGGGGGTCGGACTAGAAGACCTCCAAGGTCCCTTCCAGCTCAGTCAGTCAGTCAGTCAGTCTGTCAGTCTGTCTGTCCGTCCGTCCGTCCATCCATCCATCCATCCTCCATCTATCATCTGTCTGTCTGTCCATCTGTCCATCTATCTTATGTCTCTTATCATCTATCATCCATCTATCTATCCCATCCATCCATCCATCTATCCCATCCATTCATCTATCCCATCCATCCATCCATACCATCCATCTACCCCATCCATCCATCCATCCATCCATCCATCTATCTATCCCATCCATCCATCCATCCATCCATCCATCCATCTATCTATCTTATGGCGAGAAGGCCTAAAATTGCAAAGCGAACTCTTCGGTTTCCCGGAGCGACTCCATAATTGCTTTACAAAGGCGAGAAAAGCTGAAAAGGCCGCTTCAGATCTTTTTTTTTCCTAGCCCGCCTGTAATCTAGGTTTGAAAACTGGCTTATCCGGCTCTGTGCCAAACTTAAGGCCGTCACCGTTGCTTATCCGTCGCGGGGAGAGCGTATACAAGCCCTCTTTTGAAAGTGCACGCGGGGAGGAAATATTCATCCATTTGCATCCCTTTGATGGGGTCTTTACTAGATGGGGCAGGCTGCCTTTGAAAGTTTCCCCTTGCAAGTCCTTTTAGTAAATAACAACACTCAAGGGAGCGTCGGAGGGAACAAAGGATGGGCTCCTGTGTGTTAAAAAGGTCCAGATCAGCGTCGTTGAGTCTCATGTACGTTTTAGCTTTTGATCAGAAGTTTATTTCTTCTCCGCCGAGCCCAGAATCTTCAAGGTGTCAATTTGGACAGCGCAGCGAATGTGTAAATTAAAAATAAAAATAAAAATCTGTATACAGGCAGTCCTCACCTTACGACCACAATCGAGCCCAAAACTTCTGTGGCTCAGCGAGACGGTTGCTAAGTGAATTTTGCCCCACGTTATACGACCGTTCCTGCCACAACGGTTTTAACACTGAAGTTGCTCCGCTGGTAACCTAGTTGTGGAAGCGTAACCCGGTTTCCCCGTTGACTTTGCTCATGAGACGGTCGCAAAAGGGGATCACGTGACCCCAGGACACACTGCAGCTGTCATAAATGTGAGTCAGTGAGCCTGAATTTTGATCTCGTGATCAAAATCCCGCGACCGGGTGGTTCAAGGGCGAAAAACGGCCATAAATTCCCTTTTTTTTTTCACTGCCGTTTGCAATTTTGTAATGGTCACTAAATCAGCTGTTGTGGGTCGAGGGCTGCCTCTACGGTTTGCTCACCAAAAATTTGTTTGCTATGAGGTGTGGAGCCAATAAATAAACCAATAAACTGAATAAATTCAATAAATAAATTCAATAATGGGGATGCTGCAACGGTCGTAAGTAACAGTAACAAGAGCTGGAAGGGACCTTGGAGGTCATCTATTCCAACCCCCTGCTCACGCAAGAGGCCTGTATTAGGGATTCGAACCGCCGAACGGCCGGCCTTTCTGATCGACAAGCTCAGCGTCTTAGCCACAGAGCCGCCTAGTCAGAAACTTCTTTTTAGTGCCGTCATAACTTTGAACGAGCTGTCGTAAGTCGAGGACTACCTGTATTAAAAAGTTCCAGATCAGGATCATTGGTTCTCCTATTCATTTTAGCACCCGATCAGACGTTTACTCCTTCACCACTCAAGGGAGCGTCGGAGGGAACAAAGGATGGGCTCCTGTGTGTTAAAAAAGGTCCAGATCAGCGTCGTTGAGTCTCATGTACGTTTTAGCTTTTGATCAGAAGTTTATTTCTTCTCCACCGAGCCCAGAATCTTCAAGGTGTCAATTTGGACAGCGCAGCGAATGTGTAAATTAAAAATAAAAATAAAAATCTATATACAGGCAGTCCTCACCTTACGACCACAATCGAGCCCAAAACTTCTGTGGCTCAGCGAGACGGTTGCTAAGTGAATTTTGCCCCACGTTATACGACCGTTCCTGCCACAACGGTTTTAACACTGAAGTTGCTCCGCTGGTAACCTAGTTGTGGAAGCGTAATCCGGTTTCCCTGTTGACTTTGCTCATGAGACGGTCGCAAAAGGGGATCACGTGACCCCAGGACACACTGCAGCTGTCATAAATGTGAGTCAGTGAGCCTGAATTTTGAGATCTCGTGATCAAAATCCCGCGACCGGGTGGTTCAAGGATGAAAAACGGCCATAAATTCCCTTTTTTTTTCACTGCCGTTTGCAATTTTGTAATGGTCACTAAATCAGCTGTTGTGGGTCGAGGGCTGCCTCTACGGTTTGCTCACCAAAAATTTGTTTGCTATGAGGTGTGGAGCCAATAAATAAACCAATAAACTGAATAAATTCAATAAATAAATTCAATAATGGGGATGCTGCAACGGTGTAAGTAACAGTAACAAGAGCTGGAAGGGACCTTGGAGGTCATCTATTCCAACCCCCTGCTCACGCAAGAGGCCTGTATTAGGGATTCGAACCGCCGAACGGCCGGCCTTTCTGATCGACAAGCTCAGCGTCTTAGCCACAGAGCCGCCTAGTCAGAAACTTCTTTTTAGTGCCGTCATAACTTTGAACGAGCTGTCGTAAGTCGAGGACTACCTGTATTAAAAAGTTCCAGATCAGGATCATTGGTTCTCCTATTCATTTTAGCACCCGATCAGACGTTTACTCCTTCACCGTAGGCTCTGCGAGGTGTCAGTTCGAACAGCCGTGAGGAGCATACGCATTTCATAAATAAGAACTCCTTTCTCCCTCAGACCATCAGCGCCTTGAAGGGGAAAGTATCGGAGTCACAGTGGAACACGATGAATCAGGAGATGGAGATGAAGAAGCTGCAATCCCAAAACCAGGAGTTGACCGAACAGCTGGATGTGCTTCACAAGTAAGCGGGCGAGCGACAACGGGTGGGAATTCGATTCTTAAAACTTTAGTTCCAAGGAGTGTAATCATCAGAAAAAGTAGTCTTGAAAGCGGATTGTCAAATTTCGAGGTCGTCTCAAATAAATTGCATTTCAAAACAAATCTTTGAAGGAAAACTCCTATTTATTAAGCACGGCATTCTAAACCCGACTACAATCGAAGCCAACACTGACTTCCCAGCCCCCAAAACCCTCTCTTTCCGTTCCCCACCACTCCCCTGCACTCATTGGCCATCTTCCAAGTCACTCTACCCGTAATCTACTCCAGCTCAAAGGAATTTCCCCCCTCCCATCCCATCTCCTAGAGGATATTATCTCCAGGGAAAATAAGTAGGTGAAAAGTCAAACGTCCCTTTCCAGACCCTTCGCTTCTCCTTCTTATGTCAGCACTAGAGTAAATGCAGCTTGAAGTGCTGATACCTTCTTTTCCTTCTTTCTTTCCCCTCCCTCCCGTCTCTCCTTTTCTACTTTCTTCCTCCTCCTCTCCTCAGAGTAACAGTATGTTACTCTGCCTGTAACATACTGAGATAATATCCCCTAGGAGATGGGATGGGAGGGGGGAAATTCCTTTGAGCTGGAGCAGTAGATTAGGGGTAGAGTGACTTGGAAGATGGCCAATGACTGCAGGGAAGTGGGGAACGGAAAGGGAGGGTTTTGGGGCAGGAAGTCAGTGTTGGCTACGATGGAGTCGGAGTTAGAATGTCGTGCTTAATAAATGGGAGTTTTTCTTCAAAGACTTCGTTTGAAATGCAATTTATTTGAGACGACCTCGAAACCTGACAGAAGGTTTTGTTGAAAAGAGGGGAAAGAGAGGATAGAAGAGCAACCCAAATGTGATTAAAATGTCTTATTGATGCTTTCGTGAGAAAAAAATTATGTATATATATGATCAATTACAGGATAAGAGAATGTACATTTACAATATGTATATAAGAAATAAAAATAAAGAACTTTTTAAAAAAAAAATGAATTCACTGATACCAAGAGAATGTGCAGTCAGGAGGCTGTAACGGTTTCTGGAAGTGATTTGTTGGTCGGATTATGTAATATTTGCAAGACGTTTCTGGGCGAAGTCATTTGGAATATATACAGACATATTATCCGTCCATGGATGACGTCCAATTACATGTCCCTACCCCAGACCCATTTATTTATTTGATTCATTAAATCAACCGTCTCCTCGACAAGGTGGCTCCGGGCGGTGTCTAAAATCTAATGAGTTGCTTTTTCAAAAACCAACTGGGCTTTCTTTTTTCGTTTTTTCCGTGAAGACGTTTCGCTTCTCCTCCAAGAAGCTTCCTCAGTTCTTTGGAGGAGAAGCGGAACGTCTTCAAAATAAAAGAAACTCCAGATGTCTTTTGAAAAAGCAGCTTTGGGGCAACCACGATCTGGATGACGGAGAATCTCCATAATCATTCATGAGAGAAGCTTTGAGTTCAACCAAAATCCACCCATCTTAAACGCCGCCGTGTGCGATAAATGGATATTTTATCTCCCCTTTCGACAGAAAATGGCAAGAAGCCACTCACCAAATCCAAGCCCTTCAGGCAAAAGAAGAGCTCATGTCTAAGAAGGAGCAGAAGATTCAGGTGAGACCTCTTACGTCCTTCCTCTTTGCGTTACCTGGAGATAACTCTCTACCCAGCTGCTCTTAGGAAAAGCACCAACATTTTACCACTTACTACGGAGTGATAATCCTTGTTCAGTTGTCTTCTGAAGGTTTTCCTTGGCCCTGTTTCTCCCAGGATCTCGAGCAAAAGCTCTCCATGCAAGAACAAGATGCAGTCATCGTGAAGAACATGAAGACGGAGCTGGCTCAGTTTCCCCAAATGGAACGGGAATTGCAGCAACTCAGGAGGAGAACGCCTACCTTAGGTAAGGAAAAGAAAATGATTATATGTTTGGATTGTCTGTCAGTGTGTCAAGACCTGCGCCTGTCTCTTGGACGCTGGCGTGGATCCAGCCAAGACTTATCTCCATCACTGTCCGACTGCGAGGTGATACCTGGCTCCTGGCCAATCTCTTCTCCTTCGGGGGACACCTGAGGCATTGCCAGAGAGGAGGGTCCTGGAGAGGGAGGCCTGGCCAACTCCTCTCCTCATTCATGTTCGGAGCCTTCTCCCTCCGATAAGTCGGCCTCGGTGTCACAACAACCTTGCAATTTTAAGACTTGCGGACTTCCAATTCCCAGAAGTTTCCAAGTCTGGACCCCCCCCCCCCCCGCGTTTAGAGTTAGGGGTGTTTTCAAAGGCCATTTCGAGAGGACAGAATATGTAGATCGGATTGTGGCGAACTGTCCGGCACGACTTACTACGGACACGTCTTATTGTTTCCTTTGTCTCTCTTACCTGTCTCAGTTTTACATTTTTGATGCAGTCCATCGAAATGGATCCAAGTTTCTCTTCCTAACCAAGAGTGTTTTGGGGGCGGGTTCACAGGGAAATGCGAGAAAACAATGGCTTGCTGAAAGAGGAAGTCGAGAGTCTTCAAAGGAAGCTCGAGAGATTCGAAAAGGTCCAGACAGAACGGGTGGCTTTGGAACTGGAGAAGGAGGTAAAATTCTGGAAGGCTACACACCTCACCGTTACTTCTGCTCTTAGGTGTGAATAAGATTCACTGAACGCAGGTCGTCCTCGACTTAGGACCGCAATTGAGCCCCAAACATTTTACGTTGTTAATTGAGGCCTTTATCTTGACTCATTTGTGAAGTGAATCCCTGCAGTTGGTAAGTGAGTCACCTGGTTGTTAAGTGAATCTGGCTTTCCCCCATGGATTGGCCTTTCCTACACAGGTGAAACATCCGCCAATTTCGTCCATCTTGTCTGAAAGGGAAAGTCGAGGTAAGGAGCCTGAGTGGCGTAGGAGGCTAATGCCTCTTAAAGGCAGCATTTAACATCCAGCTGCCTGCAATTACTGCAGGTTCGAATCTCGCCAAGGCTCAAGGTTGACTCAGCCCTTCCATTTTTCTAAGGTGGGTGAAATGAGGACCCAGTTTGTGGGGGCAATAAGCTGACTTTGTATAAATATACAAAAGAATGAAGGCTATTGCTTAACGCATTGTAAGCCGCCCTGAGTCTCCGGAGAAGGCGGCATATAAATCAAATTTAAAAAAAAAAAAAAAAGGAAGAGTTTGAATTACAGGGAACCCTCGACTTATGACCGTCGTAGAGGCCGAGATTTCTGTCGTAAGTCAAGACGGCGGTAAGCCGAGGCGATGTGACCGGGAGATTTTTTTATACGACCTTTTTTAAAATTTTCCAATGGTGGTTAAGCAAACACCGTGGTCGTAACGCGAAATGGATCGGTCCTTAAGCGAGTCGATACATTCCTATGGGCGGATTTTTTTTTTTTTTTTTTGGCCCAAAAAGTTTTCTTTCCAGGAAAAATTGTCATAAATTGCATCCGTCACGTGACTGCAGAACACAGCGCAGCCGGCTGTAAGTGAAACTGGTGTGTGTTTTGCGTGTAATTGCAGACGTAATTATTACATTGTTGGGATTTTAAAAAATCTGCTTTCTCTCCTTTTGCTCCTTCAGAAAGTTCAGGAGAAACTCACCATGTGGGAAAAACTGGACCAGAGCATGGCTTCGAGATCAGGTAAGTGAAAAAATGGCTCTGCCATTCTCACCCACCTACCCACATTTCTTTGCTTGCTTGCTGGGTGTCTTACAGGTAGACCTCGACTTTACGACTGCAACCGAGCCCAAAATTTAGGTTGCTAAGTGAGACATTGGCTAAGTGAATTTTTGCCAACTTTGAAGAAGACCTTTCTTGCTACACTCAGTTACCTGAATCACTGCGGTCGTTAAAAATTAGTCACCCAGTCGTTAAATGAATCGGGCTTCCTCTGTGGATTCTGTAAGAAATGGATTGTTATTGGTTGGGAGAAATAAGAGACAAATACTATGTGAAAATACCAACATGGTTATCGACACTGGAAGCTTTAATACACCCAAATGTTTTTTATTCTGGCAATATTGTTAGATATAAAGACTTACTAACAGATGAGGGAAAATTGAAAGGAACTAGAAGGACAGGGGATTGAGGCAGACTGGTATATGTATACGCAGATACAAACAAGATATGAGAAGGATGCTAAATTAGATGGTTTTTATATGGAAAAGTCTGAGTTGGATAGGATACTCATGGGAACAGATGGTAATTTAATAAAAAAAAGTTATAATTTTTTGCTTAGTATCGAATTAGAGGAGGAGCAAGTAAAAGAAACAATGATAGCTTGGGGAGAAACTTTGGATATTCAATTGATTTGGAAAAATGGCAACCGCTAATGGGAAAGGAACTATAAATTAACGGGCGTCCACTGCATGTAAGGAAGATCAATATAAAGTGTTTTATATAGATGGCAAGTGCCCCCCACCCGTGGTTCTAGGCTGCATAAACAGAGGGAATAGCATCAAGATCAGGTGAAGTGTTAATACCACTTTATAAGGCCTTGGTAAGGCCACACTTGGAATTCTGCATTCAACTTTGGTCGCCACGATGTAAAAAAAGATGTGGAGACTCTAGAAAGAGTGCAAGAGAGAAGAGCCACAAAGAGGATTAGGGGACTGGAGGCTAAAACATATGAAGAACGGTGGCAGGAACTGGGTATGTCTAGTTTAATGAAGAGAAGGACCAGGGGAGACATGATAGCAGTGCTTCCAATATCTCAGGGCTGCCCCAAAGAAGAGGGAGTCAATCTCTTCTCCAAAGCACCTGAAGGCAGGACAAGAAGCAATGGGTGGAAACTAACCAAGGAGAGAAGCAACTTAGAACTAAGGAGAAATTTCCTGACAGTGAGAACAATTAACCAGTGGAACAACTTGCCTCCAGAAGTTGTGAATGCTCCAACATTGGAAGTTTTTAAGATGTTGGATAACCATTTGTCTGAAGTGGTGAGGGTTTCCTGCCTAAGCAAGTGAGTTGGACTAGAAGACCTCAGGGGCTGCCCCAAAGAAGAGGGAGTCAAGCTATTCTCCAAAGCTCCTGAGGGCAGGACAAGAAGCAACGGATGGAAACAAATCAAGGAGGGAAGCAACCTGGAATTGAGGAATAACTTCCTAACAGTAAGAACAATTAACCAGTGGAACAACTTGCCTCCAGAAGTTGTGAATGCTCCAACACTGGAAGTTTTTAAGAAGATGTTGGATCACCATTTGTCTGAAGTGGTGTAGGGTTTCCTGCCTAAGCAGGGGGTTGGACTAGAAGACCTCCAAGGGTCCCTCCCAACTCTGTTATTCTATTTTAAGTGGGAAAAAAATGGATGTGTTTCTGTCAGATTGGGGTTGGGAGAGTTAAATCTTTTGGGCTCAGAGGTTCCACCTGACAGCCGTTCCTTGAGAAGCCAAACCAGGGAAGGAAGGAGGCGATATTTTTCAATTCCTCATTTTCGTATTTTAATGGGGTAATTTTGCAGTGGGAGAGGAATGGCGCAGAGACTCCGTCTCGCTACAGATAATTAAGCTCTTCATTTAAGTTTGATGGCAAAGACGAGCGAGGCGTCTGATCGGGCAGCAGAGCGATCCCCGTCCTTCCTTCCTCCCTCCCTCCCTTCCTCAAGAACGACGTTCCCCAAATATCTCTTTTATGAAAGTAACATGGAATTGCCGTTTCTTTTCATTTATTTATTAAATTCGCTCGCCACCCATCTCGCCATAAGGCCATCGGCCAGTTTCGGACGAGCAGAGTGAGTTGGGGGGGAGGGCCCCCCTGGATTCACTTAAGAACAACCTCAATTCATTTAACAACGGTGGCATAAAAAAATGGGGCCTGATTCACTTAACAAGGCAGAAATTCTGATTCTAAGGGATGTCGTAAATGGAGGTCTAACTGTCTTAATATTCTCTGCGTTCGGATTGCAGCTTGTCCTCAATTTAATGACCGCAATTGAGCCCAAAAATTTCTGTTGCTAAGCAGGAGAGTTATAAATGCATTTTTGCCCTGTTTTATGACCTTTCTTGCACAGTTGTTAAGTGAATCATTGCAGTTGATATGCCTTCCTTCCTTTCTGATGCCTGCCTGCCTGCCTGCCTGCCTTCCTCCTTCATACTCTCCATCTCTCCTTCCTTCCTTCCTTCCTTCCTTCCTTCCTTCCTTCCTTCCTCCTCATACTCCCATCTCTCCTTCCTTCCTTCCTTCCTTCCTTCCTTCCTTCCTTCCTTCCTTCCTCATACTCTCCATCTCTCCTTCCTTCCTTCCTCCTTCCTTCCGCCCTCATACTCTCCATCTCTCCTTCCTTCCTTCCTTCCTTCCTTCCTTCCTTCCTTCTCCTTCCTTCCTTCCTCATACTCTCCATCTCTCCTTCCTTCCTTCCTTCCTTCCTTCCTTTCCTTCCGCCCTCATACCTCCATCTCTCCTTCCTTCCTTCCTTCCTTCCTCCCTCCCTCATACTCTCCATCTCTCCTCCTCCTTCCTTCCTTCTCTCCTTCCTTCCTTCCTTCCTCCCTCCCTCCCTCCCTCCTCCCTCCCTCCTCCATACTCTCCATCTCTCCCTTCCTTCCTTCCTTCCTTCCTCCCTCCCTCCCTCCCTCCTCCCTCCCTCATACTCTCCATCTCTCCTTCCTTCCTTCCTTCCTTTCTTTCTTCCTCCCTCCCTCCCTCTCTCCCTCATACTCTCCATCTCTCCTTCCTTCCTTCCTCCCTCATACTCTCCATCTCTCCTTCCTTCCTCCTTCTTCTTTCTTCTTCCTTCCTTCCTTCCTTCCTTCCTTCCTTCCCTCCTTCCTCCTTCCTTCCTTCCTCCCTCCCTCATACTCTCCATCTCTCCTTCTTTCCTTCCTTCCTTTCCTTCCTTCCTTCCTTCCTTCCTTCCTTCCTTCCTTCCTTCCTTCCTTCCTCATACTCTCCATCTCTCCTTCCTTCCTTCTTCCTTCCTTCTTCCTTCCTTCCTTCTCCAAAAGGGGCTGAGAGAACTCTGTTAATGCACTTTTTTGGGGGGAGTGGTGGTGGTGAATCATCCTTAATAAAAGCCCAGGCCCTGCTGCTAAAATGACAGCCATTCCCTCTTTACGGTAGCTGCCTGAGCATTCTTCCCAGCGTGTCGGAAGTCCCAGCGGTGGTGCTGGAATTACGATCGCATTTCCATTTGTACGAGTCGTTTTGACAATGCAAGTTTGAGACGGGGAAACGGGCTCATTCCTTTCCCCCCTCCTCTGCCCCCCCCCCCCGCCGACAACTTGCTCGGACGTGCAGTCTGCTCGAGAGCACAAGAGTTTTTAAGAATTGCAAACCCCAATTTCTGCCTTTCGCTTTTGTGCTGGCTAAAGTGCACCCCCCTCCAGGGACAAAAAAAAAAAGCAGAATCCGCCCCGCCTTCCGATCTTTTCTTCTAAAAAGCTTTGTTTGGATATTCGTTCCTCGTGTAGGTTTTTCAAAAAAAAAAAAAGTGAGGAAATAATTTCAGGTAGAATGCAGCACCTGGCTCAGGAAGTCTACTTTCCCCAGTGCTGTTGCGACTTTGAACGGTCACTAAATGAACCGTCGTAAGTCGAGGACTCCTTGCTTCCCACGATTATAGGAGATGGCCAGGCTGAGTCTGAAAGTGGGGCCAAACGTGCCATCGTTTTGGAGTTTCCTTGCCCTAAATCCAACTCCCTTTGAAGTCCCTCGACTTTGCCTTGACCATTAACAGTTAATGGAGTAACAGTTGGAAGGGACTTTGGAGGTCTTCTAGTCCAACCCCCTGCTCAGGGCAGGAGCTTTACAGTCAAATCACCCACCTTTATCTCCCTTGACACGCTGCCAAAAACCTAATTGGCAAAGTCACACGGAGTCCAGAATCAAACAGAGCTTCAGACTTCAAACTGAACAGAATTAACAACGTTGCTTCCTGCAAAGGCCCACGTGCCTTACGGGAGGGGCCATCATCTCCAAGCCCTACTCCCGAGTCGTCCCTTTTGTTTTAACTGTTCTTGCCTTCTGGCAGCTCTGCGCATGCGCGCACACTGGGAACAGGCTCCCCCTGCTGGCTTAGCTCCAGCACACATGTGCGCGCCGGCCACCTGATTTTCAGCCTTTCCGGCCCACTGGAAGTCGGGAAACAGGCCGTTTCCAGCCTCCGGAGGGCTCTGTGGGGTGGAGAAGTCCGTTTTCGCCCTCCCCAGGCTCCAAGAAAGCCTTTGGAGCGAAAAACGGATCTACTGTGCACACTGTGCAATCATGTGCCAAAAGCAGAGGGGAGTGCGGGGCATATTGAATTATGGGGGGGAGGTATGCATGTGCAAAATTATTTAATTTGATTTTATTCTACTTTTAAATTTTGTATGGATGTGTTTTATTGTTTGGCTGTGCACCGCCCTGAGTCCTTCGGAGTAGGGCGGTATAGAAATCAATCAAATAAATAAATAAATAAAAAAAAAACACCTCCGCACTTCCCCCCGCTTTTGGCACACGACAGCAAAAAGGTTAGCCATCACTGCTCTAAGGTTTAGGCCTCTCCGGGCTAAAAACTAGCTAAGAACACTGCTTCAAATTCTGGTTTATTGGAGCGATGCTTCTGAGCATTTTTAAACGTAATTTTTACGAGCTTTGGAGAGGAGGCTTAGGAACGTACTTCAGAGTTTCCAGCTCTTTGTGTCGCAACTAATCCATTGTGATTT